CTGGTCAGGGGAAAACAGGTAATCAGTGACCATTATACTGGTCAGGGGAAAACAGGTAATCAGTGACCATTATACTGGTCAGGGGAAAACAGGTAATCAGTGACCATTATACTGGTCAGGGGAAAACAGGTAATCAGTGACCATTATACTGGTCAGGGGAAAACAGGTAATCAGTGACCACTACACTGGTCAGGGGAAAACAGGTAATTAGTCACCACTATACTGGTCAGGGGAAAACAGGTAATCAGTGACCACTGTACTGGTCAGGGGAAAACAGGTAATCATACACCACTATACTGGTCAGGGGAAAACAGGTAAACAGTCACCACTATACTGGTCAGGGGAAAACATGTAATCATACACCACTATACTGGTCAGGGGAAAACATGTAATCATACACCACTATACTGGTCAGGGGAAAACAGGTAATCATACACCAGTATACTGGTCAGGGGAAAACAGGTAAATAGTGACCACTATACTGGTCAGAGGAAAACAGGTAATCAGTGACCACTATACTGGTCAGGGGAAAACAGGTAATCATACACCACTATACTGGTCAGGGGAAAACAGGTAATTAGTCACCACTATACTGGTCAGGGGAAAACACAGTCACCACTATACTGGTCAGGGGAAAACAGGTAAATAGTTACCACTATACTGGTCAGGGGAAAACAGGTAATCAGTGACCACTATACTGGTCAGGGGAAAACAGGTAAATAGTCACCACTATACTGGTCAGGGGAAAACAGGTAAATAGTCACCACTATACTGGTCAGGGGAAAACAGGTAAATAGTTACCACTATACTGGTCAGGGGAAAACAGGTAATCAGTGACCACTATACTGGTCAGGGGAAAACAGGTAATCAGTGACCACTATACTGGTCTGGGGAAAACAGGTAATCAGTGACCACTATACTGGTCAGGGGAAAACAGGTAAATAGTTACCACTATACTGGTCAGGGGAAAACAGGTAAATAGTTACCACTATACTGGTCAGGGGAAAACAGGTAAATAGTCACCACTTTACTGGTCAGGGGAAAACAGGTAAATAGTTACCACTATACTGGTCAGGGGAAAACAGGTAATCAGTGACCACTATACTGGTCAGGGGAAAACAGGTAATCAGTGACCACTATACTGGTCAGGGAAAACAGGTAATCAGTGACCACTATACTGGTCAGAGGAAAACAGGTAAATAGTTACCACTATACTGGTCAGGGGAAAACAGGTAAATAGTTACCACTATACTGGTCAGGGGAAAACAGGTAATCAGTGACCACTGTACTGGTCAGGGGAAAACAGGTAATCATACACCACTATACTGGTCAGGGGAAAACAGGTAAACAGTCCCCACTATACTGGTCAGGGGAAAACATGTAATCATACACCACTATACTGGTCAGGGGAAAACATGTAATCATACACCACTATACTGGTCAGGGGAAAACAGGTAATCAGTCACCACTATACTGGTCAGGGGAAAACAGGTAATTAGTCACCACTATACTGGTCAGGGGAAAACAGGTAATCATACACCACTATACTGGTCAGGGGAAAACATGTAATCATACACCACTATACTGGTCAGGGGAAAACAGGTAATCATACACCAGTATACTGGTCAGGGGAAAACAGGTAAATAGTGACCACTATACTGGTCAGAGGAAAACAGGTAATCAGTGACCACTATACTGGTCAGGGGAAAAAAGGTAATCATACACCACTATACTGGTCAGGGGAAAACAGGTAATTAGTCACCACTATACTGGTCAGGGGAAAACAGGTAAACAGTCACCACTATACTGGTCAGGGGAAAACAGGTAAATAGTTACCACTATACTGGTCAGGGGAAAACAGGTAATCAGTGACCACTATACTGGTCAGGGGAAAACAGGTAAATAGTCACCACTATACTGGTCAGGGGAAAACAGGTAAATAGTCACCACTATACTGGTCAGGGGAAAACAGGTAAATAGTTACCACTATACTGGTCAGGGGAAAACAGGTAATCAGTGACCACTATACTGGGGGGAAAACAGGTAATCAGTGACCACTATACTGGTCTGGGGAAAACAGGTAATCAGTGACCACTATACTGGTCAGGGGAAAACAGGTAAATAGTTACCACTATACTGGTCAGGGGAAAACAGGTAAATAGTTACCACTATACTGGTCAGGGGAAAACAGGTAAATAGTCACCACTTTACTGGTCAGGGGAAAACAGGTAAATAGTTACCACTATACTGGTCAGGGGAAAACAGGTAATCAGTGACCACTATACTGGTCAGGGGAAAACAGGTAATCAGTGACCACTATACTGGTCAGGGAAAAACAGGTAATCAGTGACCACTATACTGGTCAGAGGAAAACAGGTAAATAGTTACCACTATACTGGTCAGGGGAAAACAGGTAAATAGTTACCACTATACTGGTCAGGGGAAAACAGGTAATCAGTGACCACTGTACTGGTCAGGGGAAAACAGGTAATCATACACCACTATACTGGTCAGGGGAAAACAGGTAAACAGTCACCACTATACTGGTCAGGGGAAAACATGTAATCATACACCACTATACTGGTCAGGGGAAAACATGTAATCATACACCACTATACTGGTCAGGGGAAAACAGGTAATCAGTCACCACTATACTGGTCAGGGGAAAACAGGTAAATAGTTACCACTATACTGGTCAGGGGAAAACAGGTAAATAGTTACCACTATACTGGTCAGGGGAAAAAAGGTAATTAGTCACCACTATATTGGTCAGTGGAAAACAGGTAAATAGTTACCACTATACTGGTCAGGGGAAAACAGGTAATCAGTCACCACTACACTGGTCAGAGGAAAACAGGTAAATAGTTACCACTATACTGGTCAGGGGAAAACAGGTAAATAGTTACCACTATACTGGTCAGGGGAAAACAGGTAAATAGTTACCACTATACTGGTCAGGGGAAAACAGGTAATCAGTCACCACTATACTGGTCAGGGGAAAACAGGTAAATAGTTACCACTATACTGGTCAGGGGAAAATAGGTAAATAGTTACAACTATACTGGTCAGGGGAAAAAATGTAATTAGTCACCACTATATTGGTCAGTGGAAAACAGGTAAATAGTTACCACTATACTGGTCAGGGGAAAACAGGTAATCAGTCACCACTATACTGGTCAGGGGAAAACAGGTAAATAGTCACCACTATACTGGTCAGGGGAAAACAGGTAATCAGTCACCACTATACTGGTCAGGGGAAAACAGGTAAATAGTCACCACTATACTGGTCAGGGGAAAACAGGTAATCAGTCACCACCATACTGGTCAGGGGAAAACAGGTAAATAGTAACCACTATACTGGTCAGGGGAAAACAGGTAATCAGTGACCACTATACTGGTCAGGGGAAAACAGGTAAATAGTGACCACTATACTGGTCAGGGGAAAACAGGTAATCAGTCACCACTATACTGGTCAGGGGAAAACAGGTAAATAGTTACCACTATACTGGTCAGGGGAAAACAGGTAAATAGTTACCACTATACTGGTCAGGGGAAAAAAGGTATTTAGTCACCACTATATTGGTCAGTGGAAAACAGATAAATAGTTACCACTATACTGGTCAGGGGAAAACAGGTAATCAGTCACCACTACACTGGTCAGGGGAAAACAGGTAAATAGTTACCACTATACTGGTCAGGGGAAAACAGGTAAATAGTTACCACTATACTGGTCAGGGGAAAACAGGTAATCAGTGACCACTATACTGGTCAGGGGAAAATAGGTAAATAGTGACCACTATACTGGTCAGGGAAAAACAGGTAATCAGTCACCACTATACTGGTCAGGGGAAAACAGGTAATCAGTCACCACTATACTGGTCAGGGGGAAACAGGTAAATAGTTACCACTATACTGGTCAGGGGAAAATAGGTAAATAGTTACCACTATACTGGTCAGGGGAAAAAAGGTAATTAGTCACCACTATATTGGTCAGTGGAAAACAGGTAAATAATTACCACTATACTGGTCAGGGGAAAACAGGTAATCAGTCACCACTATACTGGTCAGGGGAAAACAGGTAAATAGTCACCACTATACTGGTCAGGGGAAAACAGGTAATCAGTCACCACTATACTGGTCAGGGGAAAACAGGTAAATAGTCACCACTATACTGGTCAGGGGAAAACAGGTAATCAGTGACCACTAAACTGGTCAGGGGAAAACAGGAAAATAGTGACCACTATACTGGTCAGGGGAAAACAGGTAATCAGTGACCACTATACTGGTCAGGGGAAAACAGGTAAATAGTGACCACTATACTGGTCAGGGGAAAACAGGTAATCAGTCACCACTATACTGGTCAGGGGAAAACAGGTAAATAGTTACCACTATACTGGTCAGGGGAAAACAGGTAAATAGTTACCACTATACTGGTCAGGGGAAAAAAGGTAATTAGTCACCACTATATTGGTCAGTGGAAAACAGGTAAATAGTTACCACTATACTGGTCAGGGGAAAACAGGTAATCAGTCACCACTACACTGGTCAGGGGAAAACAGGTAAATAGTTACCACTATACTGGTCAGGGGAAAACAGGTAAATAGTCACCACTATACTGGTCAGGGGAAAACAGGTAATCAGTCACCACTATACTGGTCAGGGGAAAACAGGTAAATAGTCACCACTATACTGGTCAGGGGAAAACAGGTAATCAGTCACCACTATACTGGTCAGGGGAAAACAGGTAAATAGTTACCACTATACTGGTCAGGGGAAAACAGGTAATCAGTGACCACTATACTGGTCAGGGGAAAACAGGTAATGACCACTATACTGGTCAGGGGAAAACAGGTAAATAGTTACCACTATACTGGTCAGGGGAAAACAGGTAAATAGTTACCACTATACTGGTCAGGGGAAAAAAGGTAATTAGTCACCACTATATTGGTCAGTGGAAAACAGGTAAATAGTTACCACTATACTGGTCAGGGGAAAACAGGTAATCAGTCACCACTACACTGGTCAGGGGAAAACAGGTAAATAGTTACCACTATACTGGTCAGGGGAAAACAGGTAAATAGTTACCACTATACTGGTCAGGGGAAAAAAGGTAATTAGTCACCACTATATTGGTCAGGGGAAAACAGGTAATCATACACCACTATACTGGTCAGGGGAAAGCAGTCCCCAATATACTGGTCAGGGGAAAACAGGTAATCATACACCACTATACTGGTCAGGGGAAAGCAGTCCCCAATATACTGGTCAGGGGAAAACAGGTAATCAGTTGAAGGTCAGCCAACCATAAATAGGTAATCCAATCTAACAGTTTTAATCCATTGAACAGGTAAAGTTATCCATCCATGAACAGGTTATGCAATGATAAAACAGATAATGAGGCATATGCAATCCAACCATGAACAGGGAATGAGGCATATGTAATCCAACCATGAACAGGGAATGAGGCATATGTAATCCAACCATGAACAGGGAATTTAGTCGGGCATAAGTAATCCAACCATGTATGATGAACAGGTAATGAGGCATATGTAATCCAACCATGAACAGGTAATGAAGCATATGTAATCCAACCATGAACAGGGAATGAGGCATATGTAATCCAACCATGAACAGGTAATATTACTATGAATTGGTCATCCAACCAAACACAAGCAATTAAACCATTAACAAATCATGCAAGCATGAACAAGCAATCCAAACACAAAAGATAATTCAATCAGGCCAAGTAATCTAAGATGAGCAACTAAACCAAACATGAACAAGTAATGCTACCATGAACAAGTTTAACCATCATGAGCAGGTTAATCTATTTATAAATAGGTAATAATACTCCTGTCCACCTCTGAAATTAGGGTCATATATTATTACTTTGTAATATAAATGCATATTTTTGGTGTGTAGGTGACTGTGTGGGGGTGTACAGAATTGTAATACATGTGTGTACTTCTTGTGTACTGCTAGGTCATTGTGGGGGTATATGTGTGATATGTTTATTTACCTGTGTAGGTGACTGTGGGGGTGTATATGTGATATATACTGTAAATCTGGAATTTTTTACTGTAGATAAATTTTTAGCAAATTTGCACGTGCATTGCATTCGCAAAAATATTTTTCTTAAAAATGAATTAACATGTAAAGAAATTTTTTTCTGAAAGTTGTGTCTTTTTTTAAGTCTGTGAATAGGCGTCGGTAAGCACTGGTCATTATTAAAAAGAAATCTGTTTATTTAAGGAATCACTGTCTAGTTAGTATAGTATGCCAGGGCATCAACAATAGTGGGAAACATGAGATAATTTGCATAAATTATCCCACTGAAACTGAATCACTGAAACAAGAATAAAAATCTTAATAATATATCAAAATTTCATATAAATAGCATTAGAAACAGAGGATTGGTGTCATTATTTTCATAGTATTGCTGGAATTGAGTTTAATGAAAATGACATCGTCAAACGTGTAACCGGCGCATGGAGATGTAATCAGTCAGGGGCATAACTTAAACAAGTTATTTTCAAAAATAACTCAAATGAGTTATTTTTTTGTCTCAATGAGTTACTTCTCTTTGCTATGACCTACTTTTTCCAAAACTTAATAACTCAAACGCGTTATTTTTCCTAAATAGCTTCAATAAATAAATAACTTATTTAAGTTATTTTGTGTCATTCCTCCCTAACTTCACACCCCGTGCACCAAAGGATTTTGCTCGTGCACCAAGACAAAAACAAATGTTTGACTAAATATAAACCTTGCTCAATGCAGAAAAAGTGTTCAAAGTCTTGGGAAAAGTGGGGAATTTTTTTTATTTAATGATTAAAATTGGACATATACACCATGTGGATAAAACCACAAAATAAGGAGTAAAATGCTGTTTATCTCCACCTCCTCACCAATTCTCCATTGGAGTCGGTGAACTCCATCTAGTATTACATAATGGAATCCCAAAATGCAATGCAAATTGGCAGGAAACACGAAATTTCCAAGAAATCAATGTCCAAGTAGAATATAAAAATAACTTAAGTTATTTTTCAAAAAAAAAATTGTGTGTGTGAAATAATGTAAAATAACTTATTTGAGTTATTTTTGAAAATAACTTGTTTGAGTTATGCCCCTGACTGGTAATAAATTGTGTTGGATATGGTTTGTATACATCAGAGATGGGAAAAAAGAGTACAGAAGTGACATTACACACCAGATTTTAATAAAGAAGTTATTTTTAAATGGCACGATATTCAATAAGAGTTTTTCCTCTATACCGAAAATAGTTACGGCATGTAAGAAGTAGAGTACTGTTTGTTAAACGCAGACATTTGGGAACAATATGGACTGCGAACGATGTTAAACAATGCGTATTCTCTGCTGCCTACATTGTAAGGCGATCTTTCGACTAAATTTCGACTGAAATTTGAATCTGCCTTTAAAAAAAAACAAACAAACAAACGGACAGTAGTGAATTTAAGTCCCTTAGTCAAGAGTGGTCTATCACTTTAAAAAATATTGAATGTTAATAGATGCGTGTGAAGCAGACAAAGAGATCATGACATTATAAGAGACGTAATTTACACTTGCTTTCATGAGCCGGTGGACACTTACATTCTTTCTTTATTTTTACATAATTTTCTTAATAGATGTGATATCATCATGAAACTTGAAATGCATGATCATAAAATGTTACTTTTTGCTATGACAAGGAAAGAAATTTAATTAAGCAAAGAGAAACTAAACTGTTTTCCCTGTCTACGACTTTTTGGGACAACCCTCGTACAATGTATGTTTTTATTTACCTGGGTAGGTGACTGTGGAGATGTATGTGTGATATATACCATGTATGTTTTTATTTACCTGTGTAGGTGACTGTGGGGGTGTATGTGTAATACGTTTTTATTTACCTGTGTAGGTGACTGGGGATGTATGTGTAATATGTTTTTATTTACCTGTGTAGGTGACGGTGGGGGTGTACGGACATGAGGAGGAGGTGCTAGATAAACCCGTCAGTCCAGGGTACCTCCAGGAACTCATCTTTAAGATCTGTCTGCCATACAACATACAGGAAGCTGTGATACAGCAGGAACTGATCCTGGGAATCGGCAAGTTGATCGCCACCACGCCAGATCTGTTTGACGGAATTTTGAAAATCAGAATAGGGTAAGGTGTTACAGGAATATTACAGGTGATAGAAACTTCGATCAAATCAGAACTAAAGCTGGATTCTAAAATCAATATGCATATTACAGTGTGAAAAAAAACTTACTTGTAAATCCAAAAATTTCTACTAAACTTAGTAAAATTAAGTAAGCTATTGATGATAGTGTTTCAGGCATCTTTTTTTATTGCCCAGTGTCTGAGAACCAATTTCAACCAAACTTTGGATGAAGAGAATTTACAATCATGTAAAAGTTCAACATGTACATGATTTAAGTTCAGAATTTAGTCGTTAAATCACATAATACTAACATAGAGGACTTTGTAATTGTACAGTTGGTTTGTACTTTATGTTTGTGCAGTTGGTTTGTTCGTGCCATGAGATTTGAACTGGATTTGGATGAAGAAGGTCTTGAACTCCATGACCTTTCTCCTAACGATATCAAGTGCATGCTTATCGCTGTCCTTGTGAGGAATATGGTAGACTCAGATATGAGAACACCCCTACAGAAGAGACAGCTGGACGGGGCCCTCAACAGGGTCCCTAAAGACTTCTACGACCGAGTGTGGTCCATCTTAGAGAAAACGCCGTATGGAATCAAAGTGGCAGGTTATCTCCTCCCACAGGTAGTAAACTTGTTTGTAATTTCTTAAGCTTTACGATAATTTAATTTCATTTACCTGTACTCTGCATTTTTGAGGATAATATATATAGTTATTATAAAAGCGTGTATTAAATTGGAACACTAACATTGAAATTGTCAAAATATCATGTTCCTTTTGCTCAAATTTTAGTGTTTCTTCTATTGGTTAAATAGTAAATACTTTCATTATTAAATCCTTTTCCGTGTTCTGACCTCTGTATTCCCTTTCCAGCAACCGACCCTGTCAGACATGACGATGTACGAGCTGAATTTCTCCCTTCTGGTGGAGCAAATGCTGAGTAAGATAGTGGACCCCGCGTACAGACAAATCATGGTGGAGGTGAGGAATAGAAACTGTATCAGTCTTGTTAAACATCGAGTCATTGTCAGAGATACTGTAAATTTATTACATTACATTGAGTCATTGTCAGAGATAAAGTAAATGTATTACATTACATTGAGTCATTGTCAGAGATACTGTAAATGTATTACCGTGGTACATTTGGCAGTGTATTCTTTTTAGCGCTTTTGATGGAAAGATACTTCCACTAATTCAAAAACATCGCTAAATGTCTGAAATATTGATCATGAATAAGAACATCAAGAAATGCGCTAAATCAAATCTATGCTAACTCGTTTTAAAAATTATTCTCCGCTAAATTTCGAACACGCTAAATATAATACATTTACAGGTTGTCATTGAGTCTACTCATATAACTTCATTCCTTATATCCTAAACAACCTTTAGTAAGATACTTTTATTAACCAAGACTGACTGCATTTGAAAAATGTTAAAACTCTTGGAAAAGGTTGAATGCTTTTAAAAGGAATAAAGTTTAGTTCTCAAGGAATTTCATATATTCATTTACTCATTAAAAAGTTGATCATTTTGCTTTCAGACATTTATGGTTGTGTCCACCATGTTAGAGAGGAACCCAGAGGCCACCTTTGATCAGGCGGTCAACATGGACAAGGTACGTCACCATGGTTACTGATGGTATATAAAATATTCCTGTATTTCAAAAATCACTTTTAATTAAAGGTTTTGTATTAAATTATTGCTAAAAGCTTATAAGCTTGAAATTAATATTAAAATAATTTGTCCTGTTACAGATCATAGCGGAAGCTTTTGAGGAGTTTCAGCGAGACCTCAGTAAGTCGGAGGGTCACGAGAAACAGGACGACATGACAAAGTTCTTCAACACACCCCCGAACGTCAGAAATGGGACCTCGAGGTACCTCACCAAGTCCGTCATTAATAACCTTCTGGACGGGGAAATGAAGTTTGTGTCAGACGATATGTGCAGCGTCACTTAAATCTGTGTGTGTTGCTCGAGATCTGAAAACTTAAGATTTCACCACAAGACAAATGTACTATTGCTTTCACATGGGCTTGTTTTATAACCCTGCTGCTGACACAGAAAGTGAAGCTGTGTACAAAATATTGCAACATTGTCCGTCATGAACAATCTTATAGATTATAAGATGTCACATGATGTGTAATGTTTCCCAACAGCCTGTTTATTTGTCTGAGATCAGAGGAAGTTCCATTACTACAAATGTTTAGATGCTGCCCAGCCATTGTTGCTTTGATTATTGTTAACTTTGCTGGAAACTATGGATATTTTCCACCAACTGCTTAGATATTCAGAGGAATGTTTAAAGTCAAATAAATAAAATCTTCAAGTGTGTACATGTATAATGAGAACTTGTACAATTGATATTCAGTTGCATTCCTTAACAAGTGTAACATTGTTCTGGAAGAATTTGTGTATACAATGTACATTACAAATGAATTTCCTTTTAAAACCAAAGCTTAATGTGTGATATTCTTTAAATAAAATTGTTTTTCTCTGAATGAGTTAAGTGAATCACTAGTAAATCTTTGTCACTAAATGATATGAGAAAGTTTTATTTGTGGATTTATTACTATATTAAAGTAATTTTGTTATCTACATTATCTACAAAAGATGCAGTTTTCCATAGCAACACAATTTCAGATACTTTTACAGGACACTGTCTCCTTCTTTCTCAAATGTCCTCAAAACCTTGATTCATTCTCAAGTCAGACTAAAGAAGTTTTGTCTTATTTACAGAGACAGAAAACTAAAATGGTGAGAAACAACAGCCAGCAGATCATATATCGTTTTCAGTAGCCAAATTCAGTAGATATTTAGTCAATAGCCATAATCCGCAGATCATATTTAGTCAGTAAGACATAATTAGTCAGCAGATTTCACTCAACTGAACAAAGAACATGAAAATTTATAATTTCCTTCAGCAATGTAAAGTGCAGTATGTACAGTATATAAAACTGCATCACTTTTCAATCAGATTTTAAATAAAAAATAAAACTGTTTTTATCATGCATTTAATTCATAGTGAATATTCTAAAATTGTGATATTTTTACAAATGCAAAGTACATGTACGAGGGGCGTTCAATAAATAATGTCATTGGAGCTCAGAAAGAAGCAAACGACGCTTTTCAATGATTTAGTCTTCATGATTTTACTTATAAATCTATTTTAATTCAAACACATGTCCGTAACATTTTTTATCCAATTTCTGATTGTTTTTAGAACTCATTTTTGGGTACGACCCTTAGTATACTGGGCAATGGCAGATCCAATGATTTCCTAGACTTGTTTTTTCCTTCTGAAAGGTGTTTTATTCACGTTTGGAAATAGAAACAAGTCAAAAGGTCAAAGATCTGGCAAATATTGGTAATGTGAAAAAACATTAACTCTCTGTTTATCCCGCAAACCCCTTTACTCTTTAGGGCATGCAGGTTTAAGCGCTGTCATGAAGAAATTCAATGCAGTGGGTTCCTGATTCTGGGTCCTTTCTCTGATAAACCTTTCAATTTCTTTGCAAAAAAAACTGCTTTCTAGACACCTCCATATATTAAACTGTCTCCCCGAATACGAATTTGAACAGTAATACCACAAATATTTAAGAAAAATGCATATAAATATGTTTTTGTGCTTTTGAATACTTTTGCTCTTGACAGACCTTCGCCATTTTTATCAAGTACATCTTATGGTAAATTTTGTTTAAATGGTTTTGAGCAATAGATTCATATTTCAATAGCTGTTTGAATATAAAACAAACATGGATTACTACAATTACTGATATTTTAAAATAATTGTTAAGACTTTTGTACACGCTGTCGTTTCACTCATTTTTCAAAATACAGGGTGACCTTTGAGTACTAAGCTTAATTACTGTCAAACGATTCTTAAAAACAGTGTAAAATACTCCCGATATGATGTCTATCAAATTTGCTATGTGTCTTAAAGTAAATCATACAACATCAAATATTATTTGTTGAAATTTGGTAAACAGTACATAAGTTGCTATAATTTTTGTTGGCAAGGAGGGTACCCATTTTTGATGCCCATTATATAATTTTAGATCTATGAAATCCACCTGCTAATTTGTCTATAAAACAGGCATCGGTTGCTGTAAATGTCACATATTTCAGTGGATATTTCTTTGGGATTTTTAACAAGTTTTACAGCAGCTTTAATGTAGCTTTTATTTTCACATTAGTTAACTGATTCTTTACCATTCATTTATAATGCAGTGACTCGAATATCCCTTGTTTCCCAGCTTCTCACGATAAAACTATGTGATGAAAAGTTGTCACATAAACTGTTATAAATTCATTAAAGATTCAATTATGAGAGAAACTCAAGCTTTATGTGATATGACTACTATGTTGTATGTCATCGAGCTAATGACATTATTTATTGAACACCCCTCGTATAACAAACATATATATTCTAATCTCACAATATGAAGGTAAAAAAAATCTTGATGCAAGTATCTCTTCCACACATCTACATATACATGGTATTTACTTGTATAAAGATGATGCCAATCATAAATTGAACCAAAAGTTTGTCTGGAAATTTATTTCCACAGGAATTTACAAAATCAAAAGTAGGTGTCTCTAACTTTAGTAATACATAAGCTAACATTGGGAAAAATACCACTCAGATATGAAAACTATTCCAGAGTGGAAAGTTTTCAAATTAAATAGCATACATCGGTTTGAATTTATAAAAGCAAATCGAATATAAAACACTGTATACAAACAAAATAATGAAGACTACATTGTAATTGGTAAACTAGAGATAACCCCATTGGTATTGTCACTTTCAGGTTGCAGTCAAAATGGGATCCAATCTAAATATAACATCTAACACATTCAGCGTGTCATTTTGTAGATCACTAACTTTGACCAATTTAAAAAGTTGACCCACTTCTTTTCATGCAGGCATATTAACAGGAAGTGAAACATGCTTTAAGGTGGAATACATTTTATACAGTAGTAATTTATTTGTGCTCATGTCAACATTTATAGTATTTTCTTTTCTTTAATACATACACTGAATGTAAAGACACTGTTTTCCAAATTACCTTATGGGTTGAAAGACAAAAATTTGACAGAAATTCACTAGTTGTTTATGTAGATCGTACAAAATGGTCTTGAAATCTTTTTCAAACAGTCTTAAAAACAATAAAATTCTTTTAAAAAGTAAATACAGAAACAAGAAACTTAGTCAAACAATTGCTTACTAGTACTATAACAAAATATAAAACAAAACTTAAGATTTATAACAGATCGTCATTTACCAGACCTTAGGTCAGGAAAATGCTAAATATGGATATAAATCTATGGCACATAAAGCAAAGATCAGCCTACTCTAAACAAAACATAAAGCAAACAACAACCAAATTATACATATAAGTGAAATATATGTATCAATAAGTGTTTAAACATAATTGAAAAACTGTTCAGGGCTTTCTACAAAAACATTCCATTCAAAACAAACAAACAGATATTTGAATAACATTTGTGCATATTAAAGCAAGTCAAAATATTCATAATGTATAAGTACATTGGATGCATATGTATGTGTTATTGGATTTTCTACATTATTACTGAATCATTTTCTATAGACATGTACCACTGCACTGATGTCCCTGTATTTTCTGAGTATGTCCCTATTGATAGTGTGGATGACCCCCGTCCTTATTGAGGGGAGAATCCGTTAGGACTGCTGGGATCACTGACCGGACTTTGAGATCCCGGGGACAGGACGTTACGGAACTTGTTATGGAGACTGTTGAGCCAGTATCTGTAGATGGACTCTGTGGGGGTGGCGGGGGTCTGGGGAGGGGTCTCTTTGATGGGAGGGCGTGGCTTTACAGGGGTACCTCCGGGGGATCTGTAAAATAAAGTGTACATCAGCGGGATTTCTTCAAACAGGCATTGTGTCATACAGTGTAAATCAATCTGAACAATGAATGTTGAGGAGCTATACAGATTGGTTAGGTCACCTTCAGCATGCTTACCTTTCATTGGTTGTTGTTTTAAGTCGTTTCTGTGGATTAAAGGACATCAGTTCCTGATGAAGACTGCTTAATGACCCAATGGAATCTAACGAGGTAGTGGAACTACAAAAAATCCATCAAGATAATTGTTTTTTCTCCTTCATCAGTATTTATAATGAAATTCTATTTCTTACTCACAGAACGAAAAAATTAATATATTGCTATACAATTTTTTTCAGCAGTACTACTTCCTTAGTATTTAGATTGCACTAACCCCATTTCATTGGGAGGTTCTTTCTTTTTCAAGCTCAAAGGAGTATTGACCTAAAAGTAAAGCAAAATTAGTGGAGCATTGCTCTAAAACACAAAATGTGAATCTTCAGTAAGAGAGATACAACGAACTCTGGAGGAAACTCAAACTGTTTGAAAAAAAAGCTTCAGCAGTTGCAGAAAAAGAAAGAAAATTTACCATTTACCTGAAGATCTATCTCCTTTAGCGGGGTACCGTCCTGACTGCCCCTCCTTTGACGTTTCTGTGGTGCTGGGATGACTGGCGGGGGTGGGGGTGGTGGTGGTGGGGGAGGGGGTGGGACAGGTACTGGGGGACAGGCTGTCTCTTCACTCTTCTCCTGACATGTTGTCTTTTTCTTGTCAGATTTGGAGTTTGATCCTTTCTTGGATTGCCTCCCCCTTGTTTTGGGTGACGCTGTGCTTGTTGTTGGTTCAGAGAGCTGCTGTTTTTCTGCTAAACGTTTGGATTGTCTTCTTCCTTTTGATTCTACAGATCCAATAAATATAATTTAGAACAAATCCTATTGTAAAACATTGATTACTAAATTATGTATTAATTAAAAGTCTTAAGAAAACTTTAAAAAAGAACAGGAATGTCAAGCAAAACATCTTAAAACATGCAAAAACTCATGTCATATACAAAGACTATAACCTAAAATCTAGAATTATTCTTAAAGTCAGTCTGAGACTTGCTTAGTCATGCCTGTAATGTACGTAGTGACAGAACAAGACTTATACAGACAGACATACCCAGATTGTAGTCAAACACGCGACTCATGCCTGACGTTAGCTCCTTCATCTTACGTTGACATTCCTTGTCTGTCATAAAATCAACATTTTCTTCTCCCTTTATCAGTGTCATCATTTTCACCTGTAGAATAAGATAATGCTCTGACATTAAAAAAATACACATCAAGATGGTGTTCATAATAGAAGCTACACAAGATGGTGTTTATAAGCTACCACAATGAATGTGAAAGTAAACATCCTCAAATATACTAATGCCCCGGTAATAGTACATGATGATCAAAGTGGACATATACTAATACAAATGTAAACTGCCCAGTCTACAAATGTTGTGACACTCTATTGTTATACACTTTTCTTAGAACCAAAGTTTGGCTTACGTGGCATTATATCAGAGGCAATCTCTTTTTCCTACATTATTTTTGACTTCTTTTATCTTGCCTCTGAAGCCAATAAAAATATCATAATTTTCAGATTTCTGTCACTACTATTTGGCTAATTTTTAACTAATAAACCATTTAGAAAACAAATTAATTTTGATCATACACTGATTTCCATAATACAAGGAGATATAAATGTAGTTGAAATTACCAACTTTATAAAAAATATTGTGTGACACTAATACGCCTCCGTAACATTTAGTATTTACCTACCTTTAGAAATTTCAGAGGTTTTTCTTGTTTAATTTTCTTCTTCAGAACATTCTTGTAGACACCTGGATTTTTTTCCATAAATGCTATAAGATTCTACAAAATATATATAAAATAGATCACTTCACAATGTAACATGATGTACTGATGGGTAACTCCGTTGGACATTATATCATTAAATAAATGTTTATTTGGTATAAACACGAAATGTTACTATGTCCAGTAGTACACGTGAATATGTTAGAAAGGATAGCTTTGTTTAAGCTTCTAATTGGGTCTTTGGAAATATGTTTGTTAGAGCCTGAGAGGGGGTCATTTCTGTGGGAAGAAACAGGAGTTCCTGGAAAAATCCCTTGCACATGTTAGAGCGGGTGACCACCTTACCCTCTCACAATCACTGCGGATCACTGGGATTGAAGTTATTGAACTCAGATTGACGAGTTGAGAAGAGAGTGTGTTACCACTGTGCTACCAGGACTACATCATTTTAACGATAGAATGTTACAGGGCAGGACTTTATTAGAATGTGTAGGAAGTGTTTGTACGACTGTGTATGAGATCATCACCTGTAAAGCTTTCTCCGTCTCGGATATCGTCTGATTTTCGTAGTCCTCCTCCGTTATTTGAGAACAGTACGCAGCTGTCATGTCACATGGTGCATCAAATTCATCCATATCTTCAACTCCCGCCATATTCTGGTAGATATAAACATTAGTTTTACAAAATTATTACCTAATTCATTATATGAATATGCCATGTGTTCATTCACTCATTGTGTTGTTTTTTTCTACACGTTTTGCATGTGTAAAAATTAAACACCCTTTAGACAGATACCTTGTAAAGTCTCTTTCTCAAACGACATAATCATGAAATATCAAAATATTATTCTAACAGCATTGTAATGTTTTCATGTTGGATTTCACCCCCCCCCCCCACACACACACACACACACTTCTTTGACCTTAACACTGTTAATTAATATTATTCAGATTTGCCAGAATAATTGCAAATCACTTCCGTCAACATTAGGCATAAATATATACAAACTCTTTTGAACAGACTTCTTCTGTCTTCTCTTCAAATAGAGCGCCTTATTTTCTATCGGGGCCGTTATTTTGATCATGTGACGATCGTGACATCCGGGCATCTTTCATGTTCATGGGCGCTCGTCGCCATATCAAGTTCTAGGTTGCAGTCGAAAGATTGCAATTGTTGCCACCAAGAAGGGCAAAGCCACTTGTGTTTGGGGGCAAGAAACCCCCAAAGTTCAGAAGCTTTTAGCTACTTACTTTTTGACTGATTCACACTAATTTCTTATCGAATAACTTTTCATTTATTTTGGTTGGTCATCATGGAGTTGTGAAAATGTCGTCGTTTGTAGTCTGCGTCTCTTCTTTCCACGAAGGAGCGACCTTTGGGTCTAGTACTAACTCATTTATTTGGGGGGTTTATGTTGGAGGAAAATTGCAATACAATGGACAAGAAAAACAATCGTCAGTCGCCATCAACTGTTCAAAAATCCAGCAATGGTAACGATTCAAAAAGATTGCAAAATAATGGTGAGCACAGCAATATTTATTGCTTTAAATTTTTTCACAAGTTTCACCTTGTTTTAAAGTTTCATCTTGTTCACCTAATATTCATTGTCAGGTCATGAAATCACTCGATGATAAATGAAAAGCGTATATTCTTAATACTTTAGCTTATAAACTTACCATGGAGATTATAAATAAACAATTTTTAGTCAGGGACAATGCATAAGCTTATGATACTAGCATGGAATGAAAAAAATGTGTATGCATTGAATAATATGTCTTGATTGTAGGGGAGAATTCTGCAGCCCGCCAGTTTGGCCGTGGGGGGAGGAGGAGGGAATTCAGTGGGAGAAACACGACAGAAAACAGTCCACGCAGGCCCACACCACAAAAAAATCGTAGCGTGTTTGACAAGCGGCCTCGCGCTCGAAGTGGACAATATAGTCAGGAATCTGATCCTTCTAGAGAAGACGTAAGAATGGCTTATTTATAGACTCAAGGGGGATAATCCAAATTCACTATTGCACAACACATTGAAATGTAAATAAAACACAACATTTGTTTTTGTGTCTGAGTCTTTTAAATTTAATCTCTACCATTGCATTAGAAACTTTCATGTAAATGGAAGTGCTCAATGCTTATTTTCCTCTTGGTAATTTCAATTCAAGCATGGATGATTTCATGGTATCGTTCAGCATCTGTGCATATTTTGTATGGTAATCATTACTTGCTAAGTTGTATATTTGTTTAGATAGAAGAAAACTAGAATGTAACCTAGTTACAGAGGAAGCAATACAACATAAAAATAAAATTCTGTAAAACTGATGAATCAGTTCTATGTAGGATTTTTTTTCTTTGTAAAAGTTGTAAGGCTGCTATGAAAAATGTTTTTATTTTTTCTTTTCCACAGCTGACAGAAGAGTTTTCAGTGGAACTGGATTTAGTTTCTGGAAGAAAAACAAATTTAAATCACCTGTTGAACTTTAATTATGGTGGACGCAGAGGTCCTGAAAAGACTAAAGGTCGTTCATCCTGGCAATCAGACGGTTACCAAGGTTACGGAAGGAGGAAGGGGTCGTCTAAAAGGGTGTTATACAACAAGGAGCAGTACCTCCAAGCCAAGTAAGGGTTTATCCCCCAGAAACTTCACATATAATATGGTTGACCTTTAAAATCTCCAATTTTATTGAGTGAATTGTCTTGAAAAACTGGTGTGAATTCATACCCATGCAATCTTTCTGTTTCACAAATCTGCTAATTGGTAACATCAAAGAAAGCTAAAATTTTTTGTAAGGGTATTTTCCTACCATTATTTGTAATACATTTGTATACTAATGTGTTTAAATTACATTTCCTAAATTTTTTTGACTGTTGAAAAATAAATTATAAAGTTTGAATGGAATTGAGAAATGGTTTGGATTAAATTGTAAGAGTTTGTCTGTACTATACAAGTCAAGATTTGATTGTATTATTTGGCCGTTCCTACTTTAGTCTCCAGATTTGATTGTATTATTTGGCCTTGCTATTTTAGTTACCAGTTTATCGTGAAGGATGATGGGGATTACACTCTTCATACTGTGGACCCTGATGTTCTCGTAGACTGGGACGCCATTGAACAGATTGTAAGCTATTGCCTTAATTTTAATTGTCTGTTTGTACTTTGTACAGTAATGTTTATCAAATGTTTTTCTCTTTCCATTAACATGTATTGAATATTAAAATTCTCTGGGGAAGAATAATTCATGTAAGATATCTTCCGTCTTTCAGCGCGTCTCTGGACATGAAATATCCTCCTGTCCTATCTGTCTGGAGCAGCCCACAGCCGGTAAGTTCTGTCTCAGAAATCAAGTATCTGACGTTGTACATGTAGCTGTAGATGAATGTGTAATCATCTACTGTACGTTAGTAAACAGTCTTCTGGTCTTAAGAATCAAGTATCTGAAGTTGTGGAGATGAATGTGTAATAATCTGCTGTACATTGGTCCCTGATGTAAATGTTCTTCTGTTACAGCTAAGATGACCAGATGTGGACATATTTACTGCTGGCCGTGCATTCTGCATTACTTAGCCTTGGGAGAACAAACATGGAGGAAATGTCCCATCTGCTACGAGTCTGTTCATGAAAAAGATCTCAAAAGGTAAAAATCATTGACCTTATAATTATTGGAGTCAGGTTAGTGTTTTACTTTTTGTAAAGATAGGCTGAAGAAGCTTTCTTCCAGTTCCAGATTTAGCGAGTCACATTTTTTGTTGTGAAGTCTGTAAACATTTCACATTTGCTTTAAAAGTTTAGAAGTTTTCCTCTGTAAACATTTCACAATTGCTTTAAAGGTTTAGAAGTTTTCCTTTAATTCGTACAGGGGTGTGCAATTAAAAAAATCAATTACTAGCCCACGGGCTAGTGGCAGCTATAAAGTTACTAGCCCCAAGTGAAAAGTTACTAGCCCAAATATAGGTGCAAAAATTAAAATAAAAAAATATTTGAAAAGAAATTAATTGTTGAAAAAGTCAGGGTACTGAGGACATTCTTTTTAAAATCAAAGTTTAATTCTCACTATGAAATTAAATCATGTATAAATTATAATGAAAGGAGATTAAAATGAATTTAAATAAATTATCTTCCCTTTTTCTGAACATTGCACTAGCTCATTTAAAATGAAATTTAATTCATTTTGTTTTCATCTTAATTCATTAAATACACTATAAATATATTTTATGTGAGTCATAAAACACTTATCTTTCAGTTGATTGAGTGATGGTATATAATTTAATGAGATATCTGCATGTATTTACCATAAACAAAAGAATAGAGGAAATTCGGATTAGGAAAAAACTATCGCTTTTGGAAGTAAATAAGTCAGGTAGTGCTGCAAAACAGATAAGATTATGGAGATTTATTTGAGAGTAGGAGCATGTTGTCAGAAAAATTTTCACTGGTTGGGAATTTGATAGCAAAAACGAGTGAAAATACAGGTTGTGCTTTTCATGTATTGCGTGTGTAGTTATAATTTTGACTAGCCCGACGGGCTACCTCCATGCAGAAAATCACTAGCCTGACCCCAAAAAGTGGTAGCCCCGGGCATCGGGCAATGCTAATTGCACACCCCTGTTGTAGTGCATGGGTGCTAATTATTTCTATCCTGCGGATGAAATTAAAGAAAGAAATTATCCACAATAGTATCTCTGAATTCAGTTATATTTTGCCTTATGAAGTATTTTTTTTGTTCAGCACAAGGACAGAGAAATTCCCGATGTATAAAGTAGGTCAAACTATAACTATGCAGCTGATGAAAAAAGAGAGAGGAACAATCTATGCCATGCCAAAAAGTTTGTGGGAGAAGAGAGAGGGCAACATGATGAGTATTACTGGTAAGATACACAATTCAGGAAATTATCTCAACACCCAGTATAAGTATGAACAAAAAAGGTATTCAACAATACCCAGAATAGATTAAGCAGAGGTTGATTTTCCAAATAATCACATTATCTATAAAAAGATTAATGAAATTATTGCAGTAACTGAATGAGATCAGGTTTATTGTACAGCTATCAGATTAATTAATTAATTGGTTGATCAAACATTTAAAGAAAAGTAAGATTTAGGTTAAGTTCTTCGAAATTGTTTGTATAGAGAAAGTTCATAGAGTTAATCATTTGTAGAGAGTTCATAGAGTTAATCATTTGTAGAGAGATACAGTAGTCTGTGACTGTGTCTTTCATAGAAAGATAATGTATTTGAGTTTTTGATTGGATTTTCAGATGATGCCAGGAAATCAGCTGGGATGAAAATTCTGACTGCAGACAAGGAATTCATAAAGAATCAGATCATTGATGTGGAAAGATGTGAATTGGAGCGGAAAAATTGGGAGGCAGAGGTACGTGTTATTACAAACTGAAGTGTCTGTAAAAATAAGTACCGTATAAGTGGAAATTTTAACGAGGCGCAAATTTAGCAATTTCTCCTTAAAAACTGGTATTTTCTTTCTAGCGAGAAGTAATTTTAGCAATTTAAAATTGCTCACTTAAGAAGCCAGTAAAAATAATACACAATTTATTTTTAGCGAAATTCTATTTTAGCGATCTCAACAGCCTCGCTAATAATGCCAAAATTAAATTCTCGCTGAAATTTCTACTTATAGGGTATCCGTAAATCTGTTGGAAAAGGAATTCAGCAGTGTTATTTCATTAGGTATATAAGGCTTAAGAAGAAAAATAAGTTTCTATCATTTTGAATGTAATGAAGCTTACATGGTTGTTTATTTAGTGAGGTTCATTGATATTACTAGTATGTGTGTTTTCCAGACTTCAGAAGTGGCCTTTATAGACTCTGCCCTACATCACTTGAAGGTAAGACTAACTGAAGAATGGTTGGATACTTGGATACAAGTAAAGTGTCTTATCTGTGTGTGAATTGTTGTTGAAAGTCATGCCTTATCATAACTGAAGTGTTGTATCCATGCTCTTTTTTCAGGCAAGGGAAGAGAACTTGATGAGAAGACATTCTTCCTCCTCATTTGCGAGTGAACCAGCATCTCCAAAGATTGAGAGTTCTCAGAGCGATCAAATCCACATCCCTGCACAGGTAACAAAATTTTAAAAAAAGGGAAAAAAAGAAAGAAAAAAAAAAGGTCCATCTTGTTCTGTTCTGACCTAGGTAGTTATCCCATAATTAAAGTAAAGAGTATCAACTGCAGAATAATAAAACAGTTGTTGTAAGTTTCTAGCACAAGCTGGAAATATTTCCATTGTTAAAATGAAGAGATATCAAAATGATTTTATGTTGTTTACAGAATGCCACTGAATATATCTGTGCTTTCTCCAACGAAGAAGTACCAAGTAATAAGCAAGCACAAACAGACACACCTACATGTACAAAGACAGACCCTGATGTACCTAGTGAAGAACTAGCACAGACAGACACACCTTCAAAGGAGGACTCTGACGAGCCAGAGATTGGGACAATAATGCCAGAAGATGTCCTGCCCCTAGAGGAAGCGGCAGAGAATCTGGAAATCCCCCACTTAGAAGGAGACTCACCGAAAAACATCAACAATTCCTTCTACTTCTACCAAGGTTAGCATACAAAATTATTGCAGCTGAAAATATTAATTGGTAGAAAATATTAAAGATCTACATACAATGAATATTATGGTTAATATTACAAGGACAATGTATAAAGCATTAGTTAATCAATGGTATTTGAAGGACAATGTATAAAGCATTAGTTAATCACTAGTATGTGTAGTGAATGATTTACCCTTTGCTGAGGTTGGACCAATGATTTAACAAATGACGATAGACTTTAAATTCAACAACATACACAAATCTTTATCCAAATTTGGACATACCCCCAAAGACTGAGAATTTTTGTAATCAATTTATGGGTTGTCTATGTAAAAAATAGGCACTAAGTGTTGATATCCATTGCAGCGGAGGATGGACAGCGTATTTTCCTGCATGCATTAAATGCCAGGTGTCTGGTGAAGGAGTACGGAGGATTAGAACACAGTCCCCAGACTATCACAGCCAAGATAGTGGAAATGGAGAGTGTATTCATGACAGAGGTCAGAGTCATGTACAGTATCTCAGTGTAATAGTTGTGTCATTACATGTATCTTCATAATGATCAAAAACGTTATTGTTTGAAGCCGTTAGTACTATCAGTACTTTGATGTTTGTTTAGGAGTTGAGGAAGAGACTGCGTTACCTGTCACACCTTCCTCTGACCAGTGAGTTCCAGGTGGCTGAACTTGACCTCCGACCTCCGATCCTGTCCAGGGACACCCTCAACTGCTTTGCTGGTAAGGTATCCCTTTTGATTATTTGTTAAATCTTTGCATGAAAATGATGATCTTACATTTACTTAAGGATCTTGATTTCCCCTCTGGTTTTGATATTAGGGTAATAATAGCCTGCATTTTTCTGATCATAGAGGATATTGAGCATAGAAAACGATTAAGACAGAAAAGAGTGAGGTATGAGAAGAGATGGAGCAAGAAAATCCAGGATGAAGAAAAACGTCGACTTGGAATCAGCCCAGGGATGAAGATTGTAAAGTCTGCCTTGTGTTCTCAAATTGTGTTGGAGAATCGACCCATGTCACCCACGGCTAAAAGTGACAGCAGCGAGAGCGTGCCGTCGGTGTCCTCACCCGTAGGGAGCCCCCTAGGTAAGAAATGATGTGTAGAAGTCTGTCATATGGTTTCTGATTGTATTGATAGAATGTAACAAAAATTGTAAATTACATACAGCAAAACTTGGTTATAACGAAGTCACAGGGACCTATGAAATTACTTCGCTATATTCGTAATTCGTTACAACCGTATAAGAAATTCATTTAAGTTGTATAGATGGTGATCGAAGATGACTTCGCTATATTCGTTAATTCGCAATATCCATATTCGTACTAATCGAGTTTTGCTGTACATGTAACTTTGTTTTTGCCAATGATTTAAATTAATTGTTTACAAATTTGATTTACATTTTACAGAAGGGGTTACTTTGGGGTCGTCGTTGGAAGAAGATGATGGTCAACAGACATCCTTGTCCTTTGCACAGGTATATTTAGTGTTAAGTGCCCACTCAAGTAAATTTCCATACATGTACTTACAAGTTTGCAAAGATTCAATAATACTGTGTGTCCTGTATTTTAATGTTTGTCCAAACTATATTTAGATGTTGCGAGGAGGGACGAAGAAAGCCCCTGTGTGGCCTAAAGTCAGTGAACCAAAACAAGAACATAAACCCTCCGCCCGGGATAGTGATGGTAGTGACGAAGAAAGATCCGCTGCACCTGTCTTTCAGAACTCATTTGGAGAGGCCATACAAACGGCACTGGAAAATCTAGAGAGTGGAAAAGGTGAGGGGTCATACACTTTACAAATGTATCTCTTCAGTAACTGTGTTCTTATAAAAGGTCAGTTTATTTGAGAGAGAAGAGTCAAGTTGCATGATCTCTCTATTAAACTTTGCTTATATTTTGATGTAGGAGATGTGCATGGCTTTCCAATTTATAGTCGAATTTTTGACTACCTTGATATTTCACAAAATTAAAATCCAAGCTCTGAAGAGGAAAATGATGATTTAAATTCAGTTTCATTAGAACATGCAATTTCTTTTAATATGATGTCAGAGTATGATGATGTGTCCTATTTATAGTATGTATTTTTGTAGCCCAAGGCAGCACAGAAGATGGCGGATTCAGAATGGAAAAGCTACCTGGAAAAAAGAAAAAGAAACAACAAAAGCTTTTGTTTGCTACGTCCATGGCGAGAGGAGGGAAATAACCAACTCTGTCAATGTTATACAATAGAACTGAATATTCTCTGTCAATGTTACACAATAGAACTGAATATTCTCTGTCAATGTTATACAATAGAACTGAATATCAACTACCATTTATGACAAGGAAAATAATCAACTCTGTCAATGTTATACAATAGAACTGAATATTAACTACCATTTATGACTAGTAAAGAAAATTACTCGTGTATTTTCCTAATTAAGTTGACATTGAATATTGCTATAAAATGATAAAGATAAGTTACTATTTATGATTGTTTGCTAAACTAAACATCTGAATGTTAAAATATTTTAATATCATTGTTGAAAAAGAATTATTTTGTAATTTTCTACAAGTTCGAGTAGAGAATTTATTGTATCTTTTCTAGAATTCTTTTTTTATAATTTGAGTGTCATATTGTTCTCTATGTGCATGGGATGATGGACTGTTTGTGAGTGCCTACAAAAGTCTGTGTTTCCCATTTTGTTACATTAAATAGATTTTGGTTACTGGTATAATTTGTTGTGTTTTTTATTGCAAAAAGATTACAAAGTTTGATTAGTGGAAATAGAATGAGTAATTCCCCTTGATTTGGAACTCTTTTGAAGATAGAGGCGAGAAAAATGACAAATTGTAAACGTGGGGGAAGAAGTGTTTGCATAAAATGTTGGTTTATAGTAAGTGCTTTGCCAGTTTCTGATTCATATGTTATTGGGAACATAAAAGATGTCACGTGCTAGCCACAGATTGATTTGTAGAAGAGTTTTGTTTGGGTGTTTGCTGTCTGAAAAGAGAAACTTTGTGAAGTCTATTGCTGTAAATTGGAAAGGACAAACTCCAGGGAATGGCGAGCATCTGCCTGATTACAACTATAGACTGCCAGGACAGGGAAAGAGGTCACAAAAGTAGGTCATGGATATGATTATAAAGTTAATGTCGAAAAGGGTTATTGAACAGTGATACACTGTATATTTTATCAATTGTATGTAGCTGGCCAAATAATGAACAAATCCTAGATTTTCATCCAAAGTAGATAAGAATGTATTATGGATATTAGCCTGAGTAGCTCAATTGGGAGAGCACCTGAATAGGTGATAAAAGAATCAGGTTTGATTCCTCTGGTCATACATACTATATACAGGGTTATTTTCGCCCTTTTGAACTTGTGAACAATTTTGATATATTTAATTTTAAGAAATTATCAGATGTGAACATATATTAAATTGGCCCAATCAAGGAAATGGCGAAAATAAAATGGGGAGCGAAAATTTCCCTGTATACAGTATTACTTATCCTTCCCTGTTACAGATCGATATGCATGTATATCTAATTTATCACATTGAACACATTATATATGCATGGCTGAGGTAGTGGTTTATTATTTAAAATATGTGCATAAAGTACCTGCAGCTTTGAAAAAGTATTTCTTTTGGCACAACTAATATATATATGAAAATTGAATATTGCAAATTAGCCTATAACTTTTGTGCACCAGTGACAAAACTATGGCTGGAACTTCTAGTGTTTTAGTGGTAATTTCATGTTATTCTTCCACATGTCAGTTATAAATTTTACAAAAAACTTGTAAACTGATGTAGTTTGAAAAAGAGAAATTCAACTGTATCAATTTTTGACCAGACCCTTCCTTTGGCCCAGACCTCATTTTTCTTCAGATCATGTTAAGATGTTTCAAAGAAATATTAAAGCTTTTTTTATCAGAAGTATGGTATTTCACATTGTGGACATATTTCATGTAGTTTGTATTTTTCTAGAAACTTTCAACTTGAAGAACCTTTTAATCCTATCGCTGCAAACATCTTAGTGTAATAAAGCCTAGGTCCAGCGGTCCTTAAACCCAATAAAGCTTATTCACCATTATATGTTTTATTCATTATAATCCTCAGGTCTTTTGACGACCGAGAGCCAGGTGTTGCAGTGAGAGGGGAGATTCTTTTTGGAGTTCATCCTATTTCTCTGGCTCTGAGGGCAAACAAGAGAAAAGTGTACAAACTTTATCTCAAACAAAATACAACCTTCAGAGCAGAAGCAGAGAGGGTCATACAGATGGCAGACAAACTCTCTGTCCCCATGACTTTTGTGGATAAAGGCGTTCTGGAGAGGCTGAGTGGGTCCAGGCCAAACCAGGGAATGTGTCTGGATGTGTCACAGCTTCCTGTTCCCTGGGCTGAAGCTAAAGTCAGGTACGCTTAAATAGGGTAAGGCTTTTATAACCATTTACTCTCCTTTAAGAGAAGAACATATTCCATTCCTATGCTCTTCATTAATATGGTAATCATAATCAAATGAATTTTCAGAATTTTACTGTATAGGTACTGTATACATATCATTCAAAGACCTCGGAGTTTTACCTAGTACTTTAACCTTGGCAATGAGCTCTATAGAGGGACATAAGTGTTTCACAAAAGTGTACATTCATCTTGCATGTCTTGTTGTTTTATAATTTTCATAGGGCTGAATTAAAAGAGTCTAAATGGAGATACCCTCTCTGGCTGATGCCATACAATGTACAGGTATGATATTACACAGCAATTGTCAATCTAAGGTCAGAGATGCATACTGAAGCCATACTCTTCAACAGTAAACTTTGTCCTAAATCCCTTCCCAAATGTACCAATATTTTATGAGATCTCCTTAGAGATGCGTTTGATAAATATTAATTTTGTGTATAACCCTAAAATTAAATTTGATAGAAATGCAAATACAGGTTTGAAATCCTATAATTTTTAAGGACCCCATGAATTTTGGAGCCATTCTCAGAACGTCTTATTTCCTGGGTGTTGACAAAGTCCTAGCTCCACAGAAAGAGAGGTCAGTGTCATTAACAGGACTCCTCACACTACAGAACCATACTTGTGTAAGATAAATGTCAGGTTTTAATGTTATATATTTTATTGACAGTTGTAGCTTGAGTCCAGTAGTGAGCAAGGCAAGTTCTGGAGCTTTGGAGGTTATAAATCTGACCAGGTATAAAGAGGAGCAGGACATGATAGACACACTACAGGTTAGTTATCATTGAGTGAGTGAGGTCAGTTCTGGAGGTTATAAATCTGACCAGGTATAAAGAGGAGCAGGACATGATAGACACACTACAGGTTAGTTATCATTGAGTGAGGTCAGTTCTGGAGGTGATAAATCTGTCCAGGTGTAAAAGGGAGCAGGACATGATTGACTTACTACAGGTTAGTTAAACCCCCCTTACAAACCAAGCTTGAAGGGGGGGGGGGGTATATAGGAATCACCATGTCCGTCTGTCTGTGCAAACATGTTTGGTCCATATCTTTCTTACGGAGGAATATTAGAATCTAGTACTTCATACAAAGATTGCTCATGACCTAAGGGTGTGTCATGTCCTTGACCTAAGGTCATTAGGGGAATTTCAAGGACACTGACAGAAAAAAAAAATCATAATTCATGTCCGTCCATATCTTTCTTATGGATAAACGTGTAGATTGCTTATAACCTTAGGGTTTGTCATGACTTTGAACCAAGGTCATTATTGATTAATGCAAGTTCAAGGTCACTGACAGAATAAAATCATAATGTGTGTCTGGACTGTATCTTTAGTATTTATTTTTATAAGGCTGCACCTGAGTTTCATTCATAAAAATATAATACCGGTAAGCAATAATATTAATTTGCACTAAAATATTTCAGCATTTCTCTCTTCTCTTAGATCCATAAAATATTCGTGATTTGGCACCTTTTCTGAAAAACCCAACAGGGGATATTTGTCCCTTTTGGACAGTTCTATTTATCATTTAGTGAGTGGAAGCAGGCAGGAGTGAGGTAATAGGTACCTCGAGTGTAGCTATACATGATATTCCTCTAACATTGTTTTGTTGTACAGTGATAGGTACCTCTACTGTAGCTATACATGATATTCCTCTAACATTGTTTTATTGTACAGGAGTGTAGCTATACATGATATTCCTCTAACATTGTTTTATTGTACAGTGATAGGTACCTCTACTGTAGCTATGCATGATATTCCTCTAACATTGTTTTATTGTACAGGACTGTAGCTATACATGATATTCCTCTAACATTGTTTTATTGTACAGGAGTGTAGCTATACATCATATTCCTCTAACATTGTTTTATTGTACAGGACTGTAGTACAGGACTGTAGCTATGACATTCCTCTAACATTGTTTTATTGTACAGGACTGTAGCTATGACATTCCTCTAACATTGTTTTATTGTACAGGAGTGTAGCTATACATGACATTCCTCTAACATTGTTTTATTGTACAGGAGTGTAGCTATACATGACATTCCTCTAACATTGTTTTATTGTACAGGAGTGTAGCTATACATGACATTCCTCTAACATTGTTTTATTGTACAGGAGTGTAGCTATACATGACATTCCTCTAACATTGTTTTATTGTACAGGAGTGTAGCTATACATGACATTCCTCTAACATTGTTTTATTGTACAGGATTGTAGCTATACATGACATTCCTCTAACATTGTTTTATTGTACAGGATTGTAGCTATACATGACATTCCTCTAACATTGTTTTATTGTACAGGAGTGTAGCTATACATGACATTCCTCTAACATTGTTTTATTGTACAGGAGTGTAGCTATACATGATATTCCTCTAACATTGTTTTATTGTACAGGACTGTAGCTATACATGATATTCCCCTAACATTGTTTTATTGTACAGGACTGTAGCTATGACATTCCTCTAACATTGTTTTATTGTACAGGACTGTAGCTATGACATTCCTCTAACATTGTTTTATTGTACAGGACTGTAGCTATGACATTCCTCTAACATTGTTTTATTGTACAGGACTGTAGCTATGACATTCCTCTAACATTGTTTTATTGTACAGGAGTGTAGCTATACATGATATTCCTCTAACATTGTTTTATTGTACAGGACTGTAGCTATGACATTCCTCTAACATTGTTTTATTGTACAGGAGTGGAAGCAGGCAGGAGGTGAGGTGGTAGGTACCTCTACTGTAGCTACACATGATATTCCAGTCACACCAATACAAGAACTAGTGGTTGACAAGCCAGTTCTTCTCATTGTTGGTGAGTACAAACTTAAAACACTGATTTATGTTACCCTGGATGTTTCATTTAAAAACAGCATTATATTCACTTGAGTTTATATAGATTTATGCATCTAATTTTTATATCATTTGAATGATAATGGATAATAGAGAAGTAACTCTATAAGTACTGTGAGTAGCATCTCGTTTGTCCTGAAACTTGTGTTCACAAGCTAAATGTCCAGATTATCGAAGCATCATGATGATTAAAGTTTACTTGGTTTTTATGCCCCGCCATGAATATGGCCGGGGCATATAGTGTTTGTCTTGTCCGTCTTCCGTCCTTCCGTCACACTTTGCATTTAGCTCAGTTCAAATCTCAGTTTAAAAGAAACTATGCAAGATATTTTCATCAAACTTCATAGGATGATAGATATTGATGAGAGCTATGCAACTGCGTCAACATTTTTTGACCTTTACCTTTCGTTCGACCTTGACCTTACTTTTTTAAATGAGTGTTTAGCTCAGTTTTAAAGATACCATTCAAGATATTTTTTATCAAATTTCATATGCTGATACATACTGATGAGAGCTATTCAACTGCATCAACATTTGACCTTGACCTTTCCTTTGACCTTGACCTCACTTCATAAATTAGGGTCAAACTTCATATGCTAATACATACTTATGTAAGCAATTTATCTGCATCAACATTTTTGACCTTGTCCTTTCATTTGACCTTGACCTCACTTTTATCAAAGTGTGATTAAGTCAGTTTTAAAGAAACCATTAATATTTTTTCAACTTCATATGCTGATACATTCTGATGAGAGCTTTTCAACTGCATCAATATATTTTGCAATTGCTATTCATGATATTCTGAAATTTCATACACAGATTCGAATTTTCATGTTGCATTACTGATATAACCTCGGCGTGGCATTCATGTCCTAATGGACATATTTCTAGTCTTATATATATCCAGGTTGTTCTTCACAAATTAAATGGAGATGGATTAATTATTGACATTCAGATTAATAAGACAGCTTCACTGTATTAACATAACACTGTGAAAAAAAAAATCAGTAAGATTTGAATGATGTTTCTTGCTTCAGTTGTAGGCTATGAGGAAAGGGGTATAAGTAGTGCACTAATGGTGATTAAATTTTCTTGTCGTGAGGAGAAGGGTATAAGTTGTGCAGTGATGGGGATTAAAATTTTCTGTCTTTATTATATGTATTGAGGAGGAGGGTATAAGTAGTACTCAAATAGAGATTGTTGAAGTTTATTTAGGTATTGAGGAGAAGGGTATAAGTAATACTCTCATGGAGATTTAAAATTCTTGTCTTTATTGTAGGTAATGAGGAGATGGGTATAAGTAGTACTCTAATGGAGATTAAAGTTTCTTGTCTTTATTGTAGGTAATGAGGAGAAGGGTATAAGTAGTACTCTACTAGAGAAGTGTGACCAGGCGGTGTACATTCCCAGCTGTGACCCGCGGTTTATCGGTTCACTGAATGTGTCTGTCGCTACGGGAATTATTCTCCACCATCTGGTGTCCCGCAATGAAAAAATGAACAAAGGAACAACATGATAATTAAAATGTTTTATTTTGTGTATAGTGTATATTGATATATATACTAGGTTTTCATTTTGATTTTGTGTGCGTTGTAAATATATATGGAAGATCTGCATATTTTGTTTGACATGTGTATTGTAGAATATATGTATGAAGTTTTTCATGTTTTATTTGTTTACATTGTTTATATGACTGTATGGAAGTTGGTTTGCAAATACTAGTAACCTGAAAGCTTCCCCTATTCTACTTTCAAGGTTGTTTTTTCCACTTAAGTGAATTTTAAGTAATAATTTATCGTCAATCTAATTGTATAGAATGTTCAAGACTCCATACTTTCTCTATGCTACATAATGATATTTAATTTACATTGCATAAAGTACACCTAAAAACAAACATGTGATTTTAAAAATGAAATTTATTAAAATATATTATTAAAAAACTATTGTTACCACTTATCAGTTTTGTGGAGTACTAGTATATATAGATTGGCTCATTTTCTTGCATGATCTTTAAGAGAATAAGACTATGAGTGGCTAAGAGAGAGAATGTGAGGGCAATATTCCAATTATAATTGTGAGGGAGTTAGACTACAAGAGGATTAGTGAGAGAATTAGGGCAATATTTCAATTAAGATAAATTAGAGAGTAAGATTTTGAGTAAGAATTTGAGGGCAATATTTGAATTGAGATTTTGAGAGAGTAATAAGTCTACAAAGGTCTAGGAAAGAGAATGCATGTGAAGGTGATGTTAAAATAAAGATAGTGAGATAGAAAGAGTCTATAACGAGCTAAGAGAGAAAATGTGAGGGCAATATTCCAATTAGAATTGTGAGAGAGTAAGACAACAAGGGGTTAAGAGAGAGAATGAGGGGGTAGGGTAAATATGAGAGAGAGAGAGACTGAAAGAGAGACTGTGAGGGCAATTTTCCAAGATTATGGAAGAGTAAGACTATGAGGGACCAAGATAAAGAATTTGAGGGCAATATTCCAATAAAAATTGTGAGAGAGCAAGACTACAAAGGCTAGGAAAGAGAAAGAGAGGGCAATTATCAATATTTCAATTAAATTTGTGAGAGAGTAAGACTACGAGGGGACAAGAGTAACAATGTGAGGGCAATATTTAAAATAAAATTGTGAGAGAGTACGACAACGATGGGTTAAGAGAGAGAATGTGAGGGCAATATTTCAATTAAGATTGCAAGAGAGTATGATTACGAAGGGCAAAGAGAATAATGCAATATTCCAATAAAATTGCGGGAGTAAGGCTTGAAGGGGATAAAAGAAAGGTTGTGAGTGCAATATTTATACCCCCCGCTTGAAAAGCGGGAGGGTATATAGTGATCGGGATTTCCGTCCGTCCGTCCGTCTATTACGCTTTTTCTCTTATCCGCAACTCCTCTTATACTACTGAGTGAAATTTAATGAAACTTTGAATCTTTATTACATATTGCCATTGTTCCTATTTTACTTTTTTATTCGAACGTATAGGTTTCCCAGAGCAAAACATGGACATTGCCATTTTTTGAGAGTCACATAATAGAAGCTTCTGGATAACACTTCATAAGAGAGTTATTCCTCTTTACACATTACCGTAAAACAATATAAAGCAACACATCGACATTATGGGAGGCGGGGGGTATCATTTAGTGAGCTCATTGCTCACAGTACCTCTAGTTCAATTAAGATTGTGAGAGAGCAAGATTACAAAGAGCTAAGAGAGATAATGTGAGGGCAATATCTTAATCAAAATTGTGAAAGAGTAATTAAGACTACAAGGGGATAAGAGAGGGAATGTAAGGGTAATATTTGTAACCCCTGCTTGAAAAGCAGAAGTTTTTTATATAGTAATCTGGACGTCTGTCCGTCTGTTACACTTTGGGGTACCCATCTCTTATCCGCAACTCCTCTCATACCATTAAATGAAATTTGATGAGACTTTCACAGAATCTATATTACATATTGCCTTTGTGCACCTCCTATTTTACATTTTGATCTGACACATATTTTGGGTTTCCCATGGCACAACATGGTCACTGCCCTTATATTCATATGGGAGGAGGGTGGTATCATTTAGTGAGCTCATTGCTCACAGTGCCTCTAGTTAAATCAAGATTGCTAAACTGTAAGACTATGAGCAGCTGAGAGAGAGAGAGAGTGTGCAAGGGCAATATTCCATTTAAAATTGTGAGAGAGTAAGACTATGAGGGGTTAAGAGATCGAGAGGATGTGAGGCTAATATTAATATGAAAGAGAGAGACTACAATTGACTAAAAGAATGTGAGGGCAATATATTCCAATTAAAATTGTGAGATAGACTACAAAGGCTAGGAAAAAGAATGTGAGGGCAACTAGAGGTACTGTGAGCAATGAGCTCACTAAATGATACCCCCTGTCTCCCATAATGTCCATGTTTTGCTATATATTGTTTTAAGGTAATGTGTAAAGAGGAATAACTTGTCATATCAAATGTTATCCAGAAGCCTCTATATGTGACGTCATAGGTAAGAACATAATGGCAATGGCTATGGGAAACCTAAAATATGTGTCGTATAAAAAAAGTAGAATAGGAGGTGCACAATGGCAATATGTAATTAAGATTCTGTGAAAGTTTCATTAAATTTCACTCAGTGGTATAAGAGGAGTTGCGGATAAGAGATGGGGACCCCAAAGCGTAACAGATGGACGTACGGAACGATGGACGCACAGACGGACATATCGATTACTATATACCCTCCCACTTTTCAAGCGGGGGGTTAGTAAATTTCATACCTGGCGAGGCGGAGCCGAGTCAGGTATGAAATTTACTAACCAGGTATCATCCCATACCCTGTCACTAAATGACTATGTAACGAATTTACCCCACCGATGAAACATTTACGTTTAATCTGTAGTTTATAAATGGTTTTCTCTGCTAAATGCTTCATCACGCTTATACTGTGCCTATTATGACGTCACGTTTGTGTTTGTGACGTTATACATCGACCGGGTATAGATTACAACTGACCGGGTATGGATTTACAACTGACCGGGTATAAGTAATCCACCGCCTTCACGTGACAGACTTCAACCAATCGTAAGCCAGAATTTCACGGAAAAATCAACAGAGGTGGGGTAAAAAAAGAATTCCTCACTGCTCGAAGGCACTCAGTGCCAAGTATAAGACAAAATTTAAAGCTCTCCATCGACAAGTGGGTAAAGAATGGAAGCGTACAAGGCGAGAACAATCCCCCTCTCTGAGAAAAGACATTTCTCAATTCTATAAGTTATATTTTTCAAAAAAATTATATTGTTTATAAAATTATAATCTTTTACACATTTATTTCTGTATTTCATTGTTTTAATATTTTATCAATAACTTATTTTTCACTCATGTTTTTAAGATATGGGAAAACAAAAAAGAACAAGCTTCACGTATGATTGGAACTCTCTCCATAGCGCAGGGTTTGGTCCAAGACCGAACGCTTTAACCACTACGCTACGATGTAGATGCATTATCGATGTCTTTCATTGTGATTTAAACAAACGGGTTTGTTGAAGCGTAAATTTTTTCAGAAATTTTCGATTTTCATATAGAATGGGTTCAGAAATATTCCAATTTTTGGACAAATGAAATAGATTTTACATTTACGTTTCCATCATTTAAGCGTTAACGAAAAATGGAGACTTGACCCATTCATGTTCAAAATTCATTTTTCCAATAAACCCATTTTCCACCAAATATGCTTAACTATCAACTTTGAAATAAAGATTATCAATTAGTAAGTCGTTCAGTAAAATAAAATGATAAAATGTTTTGAAGATGACATTACTGAGAACATGATTTTAGAAAAATAAAAGCTTTCTGTGATTTTTGAAAATTGAGAAACATTTTGTCTCAGAGCAGGGGATTGTCCACGCCTTATACGCCTTCTTTCTTTCTAGAGAGGGACGTCAAACAACAAACCAATGTACAATATACTTTGTCTTCTGCCTTGGATCAATCAGTAAGGCAATAGAGTACTGCTTATGCCAAGGTGTGAAAGAATTAAACAACATCATTCTGTAAAAAGTCATGTTTATTTTGTCACAACACATGGGTGCAAATTCAAATGGAACTTGAGACAACATTATACTCAAGATGAACCGAGTACCTCAAAACAGTACTTGGAAGTGGGAAAATGGGAGATGAAATTTAACACATTTTACTTCATAAATGATTTACAGCAAACCTATTAACATCAAAAACATGACATTCTTAAACATACTAACTTTACAGTAATATCTGTATAGAGAAACTATGGCCAATGGTAAATACTGACTTCACAGTAATATCTGTATAGAGAAACTATGGCCAATGGTAAATACTAACTTTACAGTAATATCTGTATAGAGAAACTATGGCCAATGGTAAATACTGACTTTACAGTAATTTTGATTTGAGAAACTATGGTCAATGTTAATTGTTTTTAACGTTGATTTGAAAATATCACAAGCAGAATCACAGACCTGGACGGAATGAAACTTCTCTATACCCTCGTAAGGAACATGTATCGTATTAAACTTCTCTCAACCCTCATAAAGAACATGTATCATATAAAACTTCTCTCTACCCTCTTAAAGAAAAAGCATCATTAAAATAAGTATAGATATAAAGTACAAATTAAGAATACGTAAATTACATACCCTTCCTCATGCTAAATGTGTTCTATAAACAGAGTAAAAATCCTCTCTATCATAAAAACATGATCATCATACACACAATAAAATGATGTCTGTAAATTCAGATAGTTGGCATCAAAAACAAAACGTAACAAAAAGAACACAACATGTAAAATACATTTGGCAAACGTGATAAGTTTATATTTTAGTTCATTTCAGAACTTCTCGACTCATGGGCATGAGTGGCCCACTTTTGTTCCTTTGTGGGCATGTGATCTACAGCTATGACCTGCACCTCCTGCGAGATTTCCACATGCTTTTTGCGATGAGAAGGCGGGACGACCTTTTGAAACATGACATGCCGATCACCAGATTTTATGGGAGGAAGGGGTGGCAGTTTGCGTTCTTTGATTTCTGGCTCAATGTCGTCTCGTTCAATGATGGACCGTGCGGCCTCCAGAACAGGGGAATCGGAGCGTGAAGTGCCACCTGACCCGGCACGGACTGGCTGTATTTCCTCATGCTCCGGTTTCCTAGCTCCACGATGACCCCTCCTGATCCCTGACATCCGCTCCTTTGGAAGTCCAGGAGGAGCCGGAACTAGTCCATGAGAAGCATTAGCAATATATGCCTGTTTTGAACCATTTTCTAACTGTAATCTTTTGAGTTTATGCAGTTCTGTGGTCAAATAAGCCACTTGATTGGATTTGGACTCGAGGTCTGCACGCAGCCTGTCCTCCCATTCGCTCCGTTTGCGGAGCTCCTCTTGGTGTTTGATTTTCGTTCGCTTGACGTCGGTCTCCAGATGTTTGATCTGTTTGTCTTTCCGCTGGAGCTCCTGGCAATATTCCTCCCTCTCTTTTATCTGCTCCTGGATCTCCTTCTTTAAATCCTGGATCTGAGCGCTTTGAGCACCTGACAAATATTTAAAACGACAATCAAATATAGTTCTGTTGAAAGCATGAATAAATTAATTTAAATCAAAAATCATTTACCAAGCTGGACATTATAAGCACAATCAACATATTTAACATTAAAGAGGGAGATGTTGATAAAGAAATCTGAGAAAGTGCAGAAATAGAACAAATATAAGGTTTATTTAAAAGCAGTCACTAACAAGACTGTAACTATGGTGACTTTTTTTTCTTTCATACACAATGCTTCACACACAGGGTATGCAAGGAAAAAGTGGATTATCAATGTGACCAAAAAAAGTTTCACTAATGCTTTAACATTAAATGAAATAAAGTAGAATATCAAGTAACTACTCACCTGGTGAATCGTCACCTATTCCTTGCATATTGAGTTGAAAAGTCAAGTCTAAAATTTAATAAAAGTCATTAGATTTCATGAATACAAACAAATAAATGCTGATCATAGAATAACTTTGATTGACTTGTTGTAAATAAAAGCATTATGCATGCACAAGGAATTAATTTTCTACTTGCGGATTAAACAGAAATTGAGATTCCGCAGAATTATGACCCGTGGAAAAAAAGTATGTCTACAGTAGTCATATTCCTCTCATAACATGAGCTACTGTGAGTTGCTTCTATAAGAATGATTTTTGCACTTACCTGAGCATTTTTTCTGGAGATTTTTGATTTCCTCGTGGAGACCTTTCAGTGTCTGAGCATGCTCAGTCTGCATGAACAGGATGGCACTCTCAAGGTTACGCTGATGGACAGCTGCTTGTGTTGCCATGGTTACAATTTAATGGCCAAGGTTCTGTAAAGATTTATATGTCGAGTGTAAAAGTTTGCATTCAATACAATCTACAGTTATTTTTCCATTGAATTTTACAAGATTCCATATATAGTCCATCTTTGGTATCTTGAATATAGATATCTTGAATACCATGGATATGCCCATCTACTTAATATTCACTTAGTATTTTACCCTGAACATCTTGAATCCATAACACTGACAATGTAAAATAACAAGAGGCCCAGGGGCCACAGCGCTCACCTGAGCACATACTCCCCCCCCCCCTCCAGGCGTTCATCATTTGAACAAACTAGAATCTACACTACCTGAGGATGATTCCATATAAATATCACTAATCATAGCTTTGAAGTACTTGAAAAGAAGATTTTAAAAGGTTTCCCTATATATCCCTATGTAAAACTTGGGTCGGCCATTTTGGACCCACCCTAGCCACGGGGGTCATGATTTGAACAAACTTGAATAACACTACCTGAGGATGATTCCACATGAGTTTCATCTTTCCTGGCCCAGTGGATCTTCATCAGGATTTTTAAAGATATTTCCTATATATTCCTATGTAAAACTTGGGTCGGCCATTTTGGCCCCACCCTTGCCCCGGGGGTCATGATTTGAACAAAGTTGAATCTACACTACCTGAGGATGATTCCACATGAGTTTTCTTTCCTGACCCAGTGGTTCTGGAGAAGAAGATTTTTAAAGATTTTTCCTATATATTCCTATGTAAAATTTGGGTTGGCCATTTTGGCCCAACCCTTGCCCCGGGGGTCATGATTTGAACAAATTTGAATCTACACTACCTGAGGATGATTCCACATGAGTTTCATCTTTCCTGGCCCAGTGGTTCTGGAGAAGAAGATTTTTAAAGATTTTTTCTATATATTCCTATGTAAAATTTGGGTCGGCCATTTTGGCCCCACCCTTGCCCCGGGGGTCATGATTTGAACAAACTTGAATCTACACTTCCTGAGGATGATTCCACATGAGTTTCATCTTTCCTGGCCCAGTGGTTCTGGAGAAGAAGATTTTTAAAGATTTTTCCTATATATTCCTATGTAAAATTTGGGTAAGCCATTTTGGCCCCACCCTTGCCCCAGGGGTCATGATTTGAACAAACTTGAATCTACACTACCTGAGGATGATTCCACATGAGTTTCATCTTTCCTGTCCTAGTGGTTCTTGAGAAGAAGATTTTAAAAAAATTTTCCTATATATTCCTATGTAAAACTAGGGTCGGCCATTTTGGCCCCATCCTTGCCCCAGGGGTCATGATTTGAACAAACATGAATCTACACTACCTGAGGATGATTCCACATGAGTTTCATCTTTCCTGGCCCAGTGGTTCTTGAGAAGAAGATTTTTAAAGATTTTTCCTATATATTCCTATGTAAAACTTGGGTCGGCCATTTTGGCCCCACCCTTGCCCCGGTGGTCATGATTTGAGAAGAAGATTTTTTAAAAATGCCATTAATTTTTAACAAATTCATGATTATCTCCCTTGGAAAAGGGCGTGGCCCTTCATTTGAACAAACTTGAATCCCCTTTACCCAAGGATACTTTGTGCCAAGTTTGGTTGAAAAGTGGTTCTTGAGAAGAAGATGAAAATGTGAAAAGTTTACGACAACAACAACGACAGACGATGGACAAATTTTGATCAGAAAAGCTCACTTGAGCCTTCGGCTCAGGTGAGCTAATAATAGAAATTTTTTGTTCATAGATATACTGCATACAGGGTTATTTTCACCCCATGTTATTTTCGCCCTTTCACACTTGCAAACAATTTTGACCCATTTTAAATTAACGCAGTCATAGTTTTGTTTAAGAAATTTTACTGTATCCTTTGGATTTGTTCCCTTTTATATTCACCCAAATGAGGCTAGAATGAAAGAGGCAAAAATAAAACGGGGACGAAAAGTTCCCTTTCTACAGTTCTTCCCATACCTTCCATGTCTGATCAATATAGGTTTGCCTTAAACATTTCTTATCAATGTGTGAACATTCAATGTTTTCCTTAAGAACCGGCTACCGGCCAAATTGACCGCTTCAATTAACAAAAATGCCACTTTGAATAAAAATTTGTTGTAAGGTCCACAGAGATTTTGATCATAAACCTCAGTCCCTAGCCTGTTACAACTGATCTCTAACCTTTTACTTTGAAATAAAAGGAAAACACTGAACATTAAAGGCATTAATTACCTTAAAATGTATTTTTAAAAGAGGTAACCTTTGAAGAAGAAGGGGCGGTAAATGGTTACTGGAAGCAATATTTAGTACTAAACTATGAGAAAATGAAGGCAGAATTTTTTTCTGCATTACTATTTTATTCCATAAAAAATACAATAAAATTTGGATTGGGCAAACTCAGAATGAATGTGTGCGGGCCTGAGAATCATAATTTAAATTCATGTAGCCTTATTATATACAGACACATGATTATATACAGACACATGATTATTTTCTACTGACAGTGCTAAAGGAGGTTTTGGTGTTATCACTTTAGTTCACTCCATCTGTTTACTAGATTGGTCAACAGATTACAGTTGTCTAAAGCAAATCAGATCGGCTTACATCAGAGGCTCAGAGCCTCCTATATATCTGTCAGTGGAGAAAAATTTATGTGTCTGTTTAATAAATTGTCTAATTATAGCATATAAAACACAAATGAAGGAGTTAAGCTAGGTTAAGGGACAAGTAGGAGAACCTCTTCCTGTCAGAGTTCGTCCAAAAAAAAAAAAAAAGAAAATAAGTTTTTTCGTGGAATTGATTGAGAAATTGCACATATTTTTGAGAAAATAACTTGTATTTAAATGTTTAATAGGTTGGTGCGGATTAATAGCTGTACGTTATACATGCTCTAAGTGTCTGAGGTTTCAACATTTAAGCACTAAATTTATATTTTGGGATGTTGTCGGTCCTATAACACACCTGGCCAGGTGCTGACAAATTGAATACCGCACGCTAGCGAGGTATGATAATTTGTCGGCACAGCCAGGTGTGTTATAGGACTGATGACATCCAAAAATATGAATTCAATGCTTATATTTACTTTCTCTAATTTTCCCTTTTCATAATTGTTTGTTTCATTAATGTTTAATGTGAATTTAGTGCCCTTCAGTACTGGTGTGCCTAATAGAAATAACAGCCGTTTGTGACGTTGGAAAGTTAAATAAGCAAATGAACATTGCGAGTGGAAAAATGGCAATTAATTTTTTACACACATTTGTAGTATTTAATGTTAACTCAAAAGGGTAGTAATTTTTTTGTTACATTGAGTCAAAACACTGTACATTTTGGTGTTGACCTAGATATTGAAAATGCATGTAGTTTCTACTGTGTTTTCTACCGCACAGTGACAAGGTTTCGCGTGTGTTATAGAGATTTGAACGTTGTAGATTTCTAATGGATTTCATTAAGAAGATTAGACTGAATGTAAATATAGTGTTATAGAGCCTTACAAGGGAAAATATTTCCAAATATTTAGCAGTGATACATGTGAAAAGTAGGTTGTCTGCAAAGTCAGATCTAAAAAAAAATGGATACATTGCAAGCAAAGTTAAATATTTACCAATTTGTTCTCAATATAATGAAGTCTCTGTTTACACTTCAAAAATTATGAATAAATGAAAATCTTAAATTACCATAATCATCATACCTGAACCTTAAGTTTGCTATATTTCAGCCATCATGTCTACAACAAAATTCACTTACACATAAAATTAACGGAACTGGATTAATGGTTTGGTTGGCATTGTGCGTTTACACGCTAAAGAACAATGCCGACTGTAATAATCAATAATATCCCTCCCTAGCTTTTCCAGTTTTCCTTCACTACAGGAATGCTAAGAGCATTGTGGGTAATTTACAACTTCCGGCTTACAACTCATTCGTTAATTTTCGCATTTTTCCGTATTTTTTCATGACATTGTTATCATTTTGATTATGATATATGTTTTTTGGAAAAGAACAGCTAAAAATTACTGTGAATGTAGATATAATTTATTCTATCTGAAATGAATTTTAGATGTAAATAATTATTTCGGAACTCTTCTAATTTAATCCATCGGAACTTCTCAATACTTTTGTGAGGGAAGGTGGGAAACGCGAGAAAATGACAAGCTCTGTGAAATCTGTTGTGGTTTGGGAGTGGATGAACGAGTATGGTCGATGGCGGCCTTATGATCCACATATAGCCAACTTTATCGAATCTAGCTACAGAAAAAGTCCATCAGTGCAAGTAAACTTGGGAAATGTGACTCCAAATATGGGAATATACTCTATAGATTTTCTAACTATGTGCCAAGTTAGGTTCGGAACAGGCGAGTTATCTATACATCTTTTTATGCCCCTCCCTTCCTCGAAGGCAGGGGGCATTTTCATATTGCTTTGCTGCTGTCCGTCGGTCTGTCTGTTTGTCCACCATCAGTTTCCGTTCATTTTCTTTGCAGAGGTTGCAGTGTAATATATTCGGATATATTTGTATTGTCAATTACTGAAATGAAATTTTATATACTGATTTAACATAAAAATATCTAGGTCAAGTTCTACTTCGGCTACAATCGGGCCATTTTGACAGTTATCATGGTTATGCCCCCTTGGACTTGGATTGTTTAATGTCCCTCTCAAGAATTTTTCACTCATATGGGGACACCACCACTTGCTGGTGGGGAGCTGCAAATTTTGTCCTATGCTCGGCACTCAGGGCCATTGAGCAGGGAGGGATCTTTTCCATGCCAGCACCTACAGCGACATGGGACCTCCGCTTTGCGCTTTGATGACAAGATTTTTTTTTTCCATTTCTGTGAAAGAGATAGTCAAAAAGATAGATAAGGTCCAGTATAAGTTCCAGTAAAGGTATTTTAATAAATGTAATTCCAATATGAATCTGTGAGACCAACTTCAAAACAATGCTAAATTTTCAATGGATTGTTGCCAACATGCTGCTTTCAGGTTCAAGGACAATTAATTTGATATATGAACAGCGAACAACACCAAAGTCCACGGTCTGATAAATTATTTTAATCATGTTTATAGATTGGGGCAAAAGTTTGTTTTTTATGCAAATTTTATTGAGAAGAGTAACAGTAAACTATAATTTTTTAGGAACTGCACGACCAGTTCGGCGCCAGCTGTACCCAGACACGAGTCCTCCAGGGAAAGGCATCATATGGCAGTGGGAGGGGGATAATCGGGGTCAGTGGAACTCTTTTGACATGGAGGTAGCTTGTCTTCTGGAGGAACACTTTTCTAACCCAGCCAATAGAAACAAAGAGTTGAATCTCACAAAGACAGCTGTCAAACTTCCATACATTATGGACTTCAGTAACATGACTCAGAAGCGAATTGAGACGGGTCGGCTTCGAATGATCAGACGTGAATTACTGCCCATGCCATATTTGAATTCTAGTCCATCTGATGGAATTCCATCAAGTTCAGCGACAGTGAATGGTCCAACTAGCCGTACTGTCAATTGTCAGTTTAGTGGTCAAAGTACCACAAATAGTCAGCCTAGTAGCTCTAGTAGTACTAATGGTCAGTTAAGTGGTACCAGTACTTTGAATGGACCTAGTTGTGCTAAACGACAGAGAGTTTCAGGAAATGGACAGTTTATCTCAAATCCTGTATCAAGTAATACAGCAGGGCCTTTGACGAGGAAAAGATTATACACTCACATGACTCAAAACTCAGCCCCACCTACCTCTGGTCACCTGAATTCTCTGTCTCAAATTCACACCAATCAGACTACTCATCCAGTGCCTCAATCTCAGCAATTATCCAATCAGAGTAGCCAGAGCATGCAGGTTCCACAGACTTTAACCAATCACAATAGCCAGAGCATGCAGATTCCTCAGAATTTAACCAATCAGATGCCTGTTCCATCTGGTATCTTGGCCAGTGGCTTTGTCCCCCACAGTAGTGCGTTCCAGCGAGCAGTCAACTTCCTTCATTCAAATATCTCCCAGAACTCCAGCTTACCCATCCACTCCCACATTTCGGCCAGAATGGGGCTGTCAGGTGGGGGATCCAGCAATGTCACCTATCACAACATGCACAGGTGAGATATAATGTAACATACCACAATATACACATTTGAGATATAATTTTGCATGTCAAGGAAATTTGATAATCATTAATAAATTAATTTTACAACTCCAGAAGTTTTACTTTACTTTTAGTATGTAAGTGGGTAGCAATACATCTGAAAGGTGACACAAATAACTTACAATTTCATTGGTTCACTGTTTAATAGATATTGTTATTATTTCAGTTTAAACAGTCAATCTGTGGGTGGATCAAACAGCAGCGCAGGGATGACAAGTATGTATTGGTTAACGTTTTAATATATTTGTGATTGGATCTATTTTTTGTCCATTTTTTTTTCACAATGAGAGTCTAGTATACCTTTGTCTGCAGTAACTCTGCCTTATATGTTATATAATCTGTTTTTATCTGTTGAGTTCTAATTTTGAGGTTCAGGTGCCAATGTTCTGACGTACCCTCCCAATTCTCTGGCTCCCCACGGCCCCCCATCAGCTGATCCCACCACATCTGGGGCCTCCGGGGGAGACGCTGGTTTTTATCTACCCCCAAAAGACAACATTCCAAATAATGTGGCCAAGCAAACAATCCATTCCACAGGTAAAAATCAAGCTTTTGCATAGAACACATTGTTTTATCAAGTCTGGCCTCAAGACCGTAAACTGAGAACAGATTTAAGTCAAAATTTCAAACTATTGTACCCTTTGAAAAAAAAATTGATATTGAAACAAAATTTTCATCATATATTTGAGTTGAAATATTACACAACATTGCAAATTTTTAAGTAAATACATTAAATGAGTACAGTCCACTAATTGTTTTCCCATAGGCAACAATGTTAATGTTTCTTCTCATAGCATCGTTCCTAATTTTTGTTCAGCAGTGAGTGACCCCTCAAATCAAAGCACATTAAATTGTCTTTCCTTAGTTTTTTTTTTTTTTTTTTTTTTTTTTTAGTTTTATATACATTTATTTCCAATAACATACAACAAAAATTTTGAGGTAAAACTTCCTCAGAAGCCCTCGGTTAATACTTCACCTGGGGTGCCAGGAGCTCCCTGGATCGGTATATTTTTTTTATATTACAATATAGAAGAACTAATATTTCATTTTCACAAAAAAAAGACATAAATATTTCAGTAAATAAGAAAAACATTTCATATTTAATACATATATAGATAAAATATCAATTTAATTACAACGTATATAGAAAAATAAAGATTATAATTTGTCTGCTAACTTTTTCAAAAGATAGTAATTAGATTTAACACTTTTTGCACTCTTTGCTATTACATAATACTGATATAAAGACGATTTCAAAAAAAATAACATTTCATTTTGATTTACTATTTCGTTTTGCAACCTACATTTCATTTTATATTTATATAATTTGTATCCCACAATTGATATGACATTATTAAAAATCAATGTTGTGTTATTGAACTCATTATAAAATCCTACAACAATATGTTTCCAGGATAGATTTAAATTCAATATTTGAGATATTTTTTCCCATACTCCTTTTGAGTCCGTACATTCAAAAATTAAGTGTTTAATATATTCTACTTGTCCGCAAGATGTACAATTTTTTGCCACTTCTTTATTCCATTTACTAACATGATAATTACAATTCAGTTGGTTGTGTAAAAGTTTAAAATTGAATTCTGCTATCTGTTTATCAAAAATATTTAATATCTTAGCTGTATAGATATCTTTCCATTGACCATTAATTATATTGAATTCTTTTGACCATTTAGCTTCCATTATTGGTTTTTGTTTCTTTTTAGAAAGTAAAATTTTATAATAAAATCCCGATTTTTCAAATTTTGGGTTTATACTTTTCCCTTGAAAATAAAAATACGGGTTTTGAATATTAGTATTCTTTACATTATAAAAATCTATATGCAATTTTTTAATCGCTTTTTTCATGATAAGATATTCACACAAGTAATTACTCTTTGATTCAATGATCTCTTTTACTTCCATAATATTTTTCATACCTTCTGTTGTAAACATATCTTTAACATATAAAATACCACTTTTTGCCCAATTTTTTAAGTATAATGGTTTGTTATTTTGTGTAATGAAACTATTAAACCATAGGTTTTCTGTTATTTTATTTCGTGGTGATGTTAACATTTTACACTCGTTAAAACTACAGAAGATTTCTTTATAAAAATCTGGGAATTTATTTAAAATATTGAAATCAGTCGAATTTTTTATATTGCTGCGTAGCAGATATTCAAAATTTATTCCATAAGATTTTAAAGCGTTATCTAGGAAAATTCTAAGTGAGGAATTTTTATTATATAGTCTTTTGATCCATCCCGCTTTTACGCTTTTAAGTTTGCATTCTATATCAATTAGACCAAGACCGCCTTCATTTACTGGTCTTATGAGTGAATTCCGCTTAATTCGCTCTCTCTTATTCCATAAAAAATTATAAATAATTTTATTTAAATTCTTAATGTAGTCAACATCTGGATTTTCAAGAACTGTGAATGCATATACTAATTTAGATACTATTAGTGAATTAATAACGGTACATTTTCCGAAGAAAGTTAAACTTCTAGTTCTCCATGAATCTAATATTTTTTCGAATTCCTTAAGCTTGTTTAGCCAATTTCTTTCATTATTAGATACTTTGTCGTGTCCTAAGAAAATTCCCAATGATTTAATAGGTTTATTTGTCATTTTAATTCCTTCTACCGCTTCCCATGTGTCTTTAAGCGGTCCTAAGAGAATACCCTCTGTTTTTTCTAAATTTAACTTTGTACCGGACATTTCCCCAAAAGATTTTATTACTTTAATAGATTCTTTTAAAGATTCCTGATTTTTCATTGGCAATGTGCAGTCATCTGCATGTTGTAAACATTTTATTTCTCTTGATTGTCCGATTTTGAAACCTTGTATATTTTCAGAAGCATTTATTTTTAACACCAGGATTTCAATAACAAAAAGAAAAAGCAATGCTGAGACGGGACACCCTTGTCGAATGCCTCTTGACATTGTACATTTTCTAGTTAACCAGTTATTATTTTTAACATGAAAATAAGGATTAGTGTATAAAATTTTTATCCATCGAAGGAAATTTTCTCCAAAATTGAACTTTTTAAGAGTTTGAAACAAAAAGGTCCATTCAACTGAATCAAATGCCTTTTGAAAATCAGCAAACAATAATATTCCTTCCTCATTATTTTCTTCGCAATAATTGTATATATCCTGTATTAATCTTGCATTTTCACCGATAAATCTTCCCTTAATATACCCCGTTTGATTATCATTAATGAGTTTGTCCATAATAGTTTGTAGTCTCTTTGCAAATACGAAAGCTAAAATCTTATAATCGCAATTTGTTAAACTAATAGGACGATAGTTATCGAGATTTATCAAGCTTCCTTTTTTGTGTATAAGTGATAGAACAGAAGATCTTTGTGAAGAAGATAATTGGCCTTTTTCAAATGATCTCACTAGGCTTTCATATAAATAAAATTTTAGATATTTCCAAAACATTTTGTAAAATTCCACGGGAATTCCGTCTAATCCCGGTGATTTATTTAATTTCATATTATAAACAGCTTCTGCACATTCTTCAATTGTTATAACTTTATCGCAATTTTCTTTATCTTCATCAGATAGGTAATTAATAAGTTCGGTTTCTTGTAAATATCTTTTTACATCGTTAATTGATACATTGCTAGATGAGTATAGTTTTTCATAGTATGAACTAAGTGTACTTAAAATTTCTTCTGTTTCATATACACATTTATCTCCTACCGATAATTTATTTATAACATTATGTGATTGGTGTTTATTTTCTAGTCTTAAAAAATAGGAGGTGTTTTTTTCACCGTCATCGATCCAACGCGCTTTGGATCTCACCCTTGCTCCTTTTGATTTATATGTATATAAATTGTCTAATTCTTTTTCCAATTGCTTTTTATGTAGCATATTTATATCATTTGAATTAGACATTTCAATTTCTTCAATTTCCTTTTCTATTACTTTAATACGATTGTTTATACTTTTGTTTTTCTTTTTTGAATAGTCAATGCATAACTCTTTTATTTCATATTTAATCATTTCCCAACGAATTTGCGGATCTGGTTGGTTATTTATATTTTCAGGCATATTTTCGAAAAAGGTTTTGATAATGTTACAAAATTCAACATCTTGTAAAATTGACGTATTCAATTTCCAAAAACCATTACCTCTTTCATTTTTTGAGAGGGTGCAGTAAAAAATAAAAGACCTATGGTCACTCATTCTAGTATTTGAAACATCTGGAGGTTTTCTAAGTAATATTTTTTCAACAGGATAACATAAATTCTCGGAAGTGAATATGTAATCAATTCTGCTTTTAGGCTTATTATTTGAATCACACCATGTTTTCCCTTCTTTTTCAGGATTAATTTTGTCCCATATGTCAATCAATCGAAATTTAAATTTTAAATCATTAATTATTTTTGCACATTTACTCTTTGCACTGTGTACTGAATTAAAATCCCCTACAAATATAATGTTTTGTTCATTTAAACAATATTGAGAAACCCATGAAGCAAGTTTTTTGAAAAATTTACATCTTTCATTTTCTGAATTTGGCGCATATATATTTACTAAAGTTATAATGTTCTGTTCATACTCAATATTAATTAAAATTCTCCTTCCATCATCTGATTTGTGTATGTTATGAACAATAATTGGTAAACTTTTATGAAATAATACAGATACCCCTCTACTATGGGAAGAGTTGGAAAAACAATGATAGCTTGAACCTTGCCATCTAGCATTGTAAATATTTTCTCTTTCAGTTATATAATGAGTTTCTTGTAGAAAAACAATTTTGCAATTAGTATCATTAAGCCAATCATATAAAGTCTGTCTTTTAGAATAATCATTAAGCCCTCGGGCATTTAACGACAACAGCTTTAACGATGACATAAATATAAGAGTTCTTTGTGTTCATACATCTTAACTTAAACAGTTACCGTTAACGTTTCCGTTGATCTTTTTTCCTGCTTTTTCTAAGATTTTCAGCGGCGCAACCAATTATCTCCCCCATCATGTTTTTCCCTGGCCAGGCCGTTGGTGATGTTTTGATTGTTTCTTCATAAGACAGGCCAGTTCCCCAGTATAGATCATAAACTGGGTGTCCAAAGAACACAGACGGCTTAAAGGAGAGTAGTTCGTCTCTCATTTTTTCACACTGTTTTACCTTTTCTGCAATGATTTGTTCCATAACTCCCTTTTCCGTTTCCTTCCATTGATCTGATTTTTGAACAAGATTGCCAATACGTTTTGCTTCCAGGGCAGTCTTAGCGTTACGAATGCGCTCAGCTGCACCTACATCACCTGATCTTAGTGCCTTCGCTGTTTGAAAGGCTTGTTCTGCCGACCTAAATGACTCTCCAAAGATCTTAATCTCACATGGGAAGAAATTTGACAATACATTGTTTTCTCCTTGAAAAGTTTCCAAATTTTTGGGTTTTACGGAAATGTAGAAATCGCAATCTTCAGATCCTGGTTTGTGCCCCGGTTTTTTGCATACTGCGCAGCACGTCTCGTTTTCACAATGGAATTTATTGTGCCCATTTTGCCAGCAATTGGTGCATGTGAGTGCTGGTTTGTCTATATGCTGGTCTTGATGGTATAGCTTACATTTCAGCCCGGCACAATATACATTTCTGGGTAGGGTTGCGTTGGGTGGTAATGGATCTATGTATAGAAAACGATTTCCATTTAGAACACTTGTCATTCTTTTTGTTTCAGGATTTCTAATTTTCTCGTAGTACATTTCGGTTTTGGGTGTGACTTTAAGCTTAGACAACATTTCAAAGACGGCACTATCATCCACCGATAGAGGGAGTCCGCAGATTGTGACTTTTAGAGACTTATCGTCGGGAGCTTCAAGGCCTGTCGAATATGGATTTGAGTCATATACCTTGACATGTTGGTTCCCGATATCTAAGCCCTGCAGAAGAATGCCATCCCTTCCCTCTTTAGTATTCAAATAGATCCGCCACAAATCTCTATCTAATTGGATACACCGAATGGTGTCACCAACTACCTTTGAAGCGCATTGTACAAGCAGAAAATTAGTGACCTTGCCCTCTTTCGAGCCAAGTATTTCACTGTTCTTTAAATAGACCGGCTTTAAGACCTGTGCCATTGTTCGATGAACTCAATTCACTGATCTCTCACTCGCCGAATTTCGCACAATAAACAGATGAACAGGATATACAAAGAACACATAAATCCAATCAAATATTTCACAATTTTTCACAAGAAAATATATCTATGTAGTGTTATGTCCATATAGACCACACAGAAGTACAAAATATGAAAATAATTCCACAGAACTCGATCAAAAAAGCGGAGCTCGAGAGGTAACGTCCATACCCTGTGAGCCCGTCACGTGATCCTTTTTCGTCTTTCCTTAGTTAAAATCTCAAGGTGGCATGTCAGATTCGTTTTCCGGCAAAATGTGTCTGTCTGCGGGAACCTCTAAAAATGAAAGTGAAAGTAGGGGAATTTCATAGTTCTCACTGGTGCTATAATACACAAAATAATTCGGCTGATCTTCTTGATAAATTACATTTGCCAAGCTTTTTTGGTAGGAAAGATTCTCCTTATCAACAAGTGTGAGGCTCAGTTTAGTTCATGTGCACTATTTTTTTTATGCAAGTCTGCAAAATAAGGAACTTGTATTTTTTTCTGCACACATTTCTTCTCCTACCGATTCTAAAAATAGTTAGTGGGATGTACCCAAATAAAACTCAAGATATAAAAAATCAAAATTTTGACTTAAGTCTGTTCTCAGTTTATGGTATTGGGGCCTGGTTTCGTAATTGATGGACATCTAGATTGTCTTAATTCTTTGATTTATTTCCTTTCTGAGTTTTTAAGGTAGTCTGAATAGTGTGCATTCTATCTTACAGGTACTTGGGCTGGTTGTGAAGTGTTTGAAAATTATGTGTCAATCCTGGACAGTCCCCCTGACGATGAGGTGAGTTTAAATATCTCAAGTCCTAGAGATTTGTCTCAATATCTCAAGTCTTAGAGATTTGTCTCCTTTTCTATACAGAAGTGTTGTATATGCTGTGAGATGTTTATTTTATATCTCGAGTGCGAGAATTATCTGTATTTCTGTACAGGATTGCTGTATATGCTGTGAGAAGCTGACCCACCCCTCGGGTTATGGTGAAGGAAAAGCGGACGAGAAGGTTGTGTTCAAACTCCGGAAATGTGCTCACATGTTTCATAAGCTCTGTATTCTGGCTATGTATGAGAGCACCACAAAGGTAGGGGGTCAGACAAATGGTTTATATTTAAAAAATAAAGATTTTGGCAATAGAGGAACCATTAAAATCAAATAAATACACATTCAGATAGTCAATTGTTTTCATTATAAACTTGAATTGCCTATCAGTTTTTCCCCTACTTTAAAGTTTATTAGCTGACCTCAATGAGATGATCAATGGTTTCCATGTTTTTTATTTGTTCTCAATAGAATGGTTCTGTTCAATGTCCTACATGTAAAACAATATATGGAGAGAAACATGGAAACTGCCCTGATGGTGTAATGGAATATCTGACTCTACCCCACTCATTACCGGGCCATGAGGGCCACCAAACAAAGATCATCATATATCACATAGCCCCAGGGATCCAGGGCCCAGAACATCCCCACCCCGGGAAACGCTACACCTGTAGGGGGTTCCCCAGGGTGTGTTACCTCCCAGACAGCGAGAAAGGTAGAAAGGTCAGTATCTAAGTCAGAATCTAAGTCACTAACTAAGTCAGTGCTAAAAAGATCATTTAGTAAAAGTAATGTCAAAGAAATCCACATAATTTTCTACCCTCAGATTAAATAGGAATTGTGATTCCCCATACGGAGTCTGTAAAAAAAATTAATTATACAAAATGGACTGACTCGGAGTAGGAATCAGTAGGTAAACATTGGTTAGAGTCAAATCAGATAGTATCTAAGACAGAGTCTAAATTTATGAAAGTATCCAAGTCATAATCTGTAAAATTAAAATAAATCAGCCAGTAACTGAGGCAGAATCCAATTCTGTATTTCCTTGGTGTGATATTTTATGTTTAAAAATTTTTTACATCAGGTTCTGAAGTTGTTGATAGTTGCCTGGAAGAGAAGACTGACCTTTACGATCGGTCACTCGACCACGACGGGAGAATCGGACACCGTGACGTGGAACGAGATACACCATAAAACGGAGTCAGGAAGGAATCATTCAGGGCATGGTTACCCTGACGATAAATATCTGGACAATGTGTTAATGGAGTTAAATGTTCAGGGTGTTACCGAGGCAGATCTGAAGTCATAAAGATTGATATTACCATGGTAACCAAGGCTGACATGATGTCATAAGTATAATACATGTATCACCATGGTTACCAAGACTGACATGATGTCATAAGGAATAATATTACTATGGTTACCGTGACTGACTTGATGTCATAAGGAACAATATTACTATGATTACAGAGACTGACATGATGTCATAAGGAACAATATTACTATGGTTACCGAGACTGACATGATGTCATAAAGAACAATATCACCATGGTTACCAAGGGAGATCTGAAGTAGAATATCACCATGGTTATCAAGGCTGACCCAATGTCATAAAGAACAATATCACCATGGTTACTAAGGCAGATCTGATGTCATAAAGTACAATTTTGGGATGGTTACCAAGACTGATCATAAGCTACAAGCAATAATACCTTGGTTACATAGGTAGATGTGATGTCATAGACAATATTACTATGGATACACAGATAGATTTTATTTTACAAACAATATTACATTGGTTACAGAGACCGATTTTATTTCACTGACAACATTACTATTATTTTCTAAAATGATAATCTGAGCGTTTTTTGGTAGCAGAGATTGTTATCATGAGTAGAGTGTTGTAGATATACACTGTATTAAGATTTCTTGTTAGAAGACGACCTTGATGCTTGTTATTGTTTCACTCATGTTGCTATGGTGATTATAACACAAATTAAATGAACTATAGTGACTCTATGCATTAAATGTTTCCTTTATCCATTTGAAATAGTGCAGAATAAACAAGAAAGCGTGAACTTAAATTAGCAAGGGGTAAAAAATGTTCTAATAATGATTTCATGCACCACTAAAATAAGCATGTTTACAATATCTCTTGCTTGCTGAAATGAGTCAAGTATTGAGTACAGGGAAACCTTTCATATCACTGGGACTTGAGTCTCACCTTGCATTGGTATAAATGCAGGTGTCAATTTTAAATAACTCTTAGTTCTGTGAAACAGTAAGCAATGGTACACTGTAAATCCGAAAGGATGTATTCACTTTAACAAAAGAATTGACCTATAGGAGGGAACAATTTCCCGGAAAAAGTGACATTTAAAAATCGATCTTTATTTGTATTTTTCTACCGTATATATGTCTACATTTTTCAAATTTGTATTTTATGCCTAAAATTTATTATTTACAACTTTACAATAAACCTCCAAAGTTGACCGAAACACCATTTTGTCCGTTAAAGCGTTGATTTTTGCATGAATTTTGGCCTTGAAGTCCATCAGGGCAGGCCTGCCCCTAAATAAAATTATAATATTTTGATAGGTTAGGACGTAAGGAATAATTTAAGATAAGATTTTTTTAGGGGCATCCCTGCCCTGGGGTTGAAATTCACAAAAAACCTACAAAAAATAAGGAAACCTGATTTTCATAATCTGCTTTAAATTTATGCCTTTTATTCTTATAGACAGACTAGCTCAGTTGATATATGTGCTGACTTTTACACCTTGGATACTTTCTTTTTAAAGGCGGGGGTTCGAATCCACCTGGTACAACACTTTAACGTTTTAAATTTCCCTTTTTCAGAAACTATTTTATTTTTTTTTATAGACGTGTATTTTTCTTTCAATTATCTAATCCCTTATGCATGCCAATTCTTGATATAAGAAACACTTAAGAGATATCAAATTGTAAAAATCCAATGTACAGTTGTCAGTCAGTTGGAACGAACCTCAATATAAGCACACTTTCTCTGAGGACAAGAATAACTCACTATGTGTTACTCAATAGAGGTTCTCTTGGCAACATATTGAGCTGTGACGAATTTCAATTGTATATATTCCTTAGAATTTAATCACCTTGATTTTGGCTTCATATTTCAGTAAATGCACTCCCTTGGATTTCATTGAGGCCTATATAATTTGCACACATTAATGACATGTTTTAATATCTCCACAGATAAATAGCCTAGACATAAGGAATAGAATTTTCGAGACAGTAGGCATTACCCTTATGCATTATGAGAAGTAAAGACAAATATCAATTATTACATTTGGAGATAACAAACTCAGAAAATCAAAGAAAGGGTTTCTCCTACCTCTACTCACTGAAATAAAGATTTAGGAAAAAACAAATTGTTATATGTATTCAGCTTAATGTCATTAAGTGGAACGGAAATCGACAAGCTTTTAGTAGAGAAAAAACCAAGCCCGGCCCTATAGGTCAGATCCCTATTTATAATGAAGTGATCCTTTTATGACTGTATTTTATTCAAATTTAAGTAACAATGCACAAATTACATAAAAAAGTACATTAATAAATAGTACAAATATTTTTGTTGACAAATCTTGTCTTTTTTTGGCCATTGCACATGTAATAAATTCTAGATCATACATTTGAAATAAATACTTGAGAATTTCACACTTGAAAAGTTCAATGCAAAAATGTCAGATCCACACTTGTAAATACACATAATAAGATCTCTAGATTTTGTCTGGTTCTCCACTCATGTCTTAAACATGGTGGGTTTTATTTCAGAGATGCACAGTGAAATTCCGTTGCAGCATTCTGGACTTGCAAAGGATTACCACTAGCATGCTTATTTTTTTTCACTTTTTAAATAACTACAGTTACTAGATTTGGAATTCATCTAAGATACTCATTTGTTTATAACTATTATTTTTCCTTTACTTGTAATATCTTTAAAAAGATAACACATGGTACATTATGAAAGCAAATACACATGTACCGGTACATGTATTACAACACAGATCCCAATAAAGCTGAGCAATGATTGAATAAAATGTAATGATTCCTGCTGTAAAGCCAACCAGCATATCTGTAATCATCTAATACAACATTAAGTGTACCATACAGTAAAATGATACACCACAATGTTCATTTGAAGACCTCAATACATTTACATGTAACATATATTTATGGAACAGTGGCACAGATCCAGATATCAAGTGCCCCTGGAATAATCACCAGCTGTTAGTACATACTTTTTGCCATTGTGACAGTCTTAAACAGTCTAGTGTTAAATATCATAATTTAATTAATTGGTCTTTGTACTGAAATGTGGCAGTGAGTTTTCTCTTGGGCCTGCAGTTTAAGAGATTTAGTAAATGACTTTTATCCTTTTAATGGACAGTTTTATGTGTAACGTCATTTGTAAGTCGGCATTATAGAGAAGACTTCTGTCTGAAGCTGATGAGGGGTTCCGTTTCACTTCCCGTGCTGCGTCCAGATCGCCCGGACCGATTGATAATGGCACTCCCACTGGAGCCACTGTACTGCACATCTGACTGGAAGATGTTGAGACGAAGCCTATGATTGGCTGGGAGTCCCCAGAAAACCAAAGCAGCTAAGAGAGCTTGAAGGGGATTGGATACTGCCTAAAATCAGAAAAGTAAAATGTAGACATCAGAATCAGACAATATGGCCTAATGCAGCTTTGTACTGGAATTAATTTTACATTACAGTTTTCACATAAGTGACTTCTATGCACAGTTTGTCACATGCCTACTTCACAACTTTGTAGCACTCGATATCAAAATTTTACAACTTTAACAGATATGTACACTCAAACTTCATTATTTTGATTTCAAGAGAACCAAGATTTTACTTTTGTATATCCAAGGATTCAAGATAACAAGGATAAAATCTAGAAGACTGGGACTGTAAAGTACATACTGACATACCCCTGGTATTTATGATATCAGTGTTCAAGATTACAAAATTCAACTGTATATGATTGACAAGTATTTTATGTATTACTCTTATACCCTTATCTTCTTCTAAAACCAGTCTTTAATCAATGAACATGAAGACTTTACCTATATAAATAAATACATACCAGTATTTACTGAAATGAAGACTTTACTTAGTATATGGGTAAATAATTAAGGGACATTACATACCATTAGTATAAAGAAAGCCAGGATGCTCTTGTCGTCTGGTATAAATGATGTGGCGGCAGCCTTTGACCTCAGCAGTAGAACTGCATTGACAAGATTAGGTATCCAACTGAAAGTCAACCATAAATTATCATAACTCAGTTCTAAACAGCCATATTTTATATCAGAAGGAATCAATCGATTTCGTACAATGGACTGTAGTAATAAGATAAATCTTTCAAAGTCAGATTTTACTCCAAACAATATGTAAATGATAAACTAGAAATCATTATCTGGAAGCTGTGTTGCCTCTCTAGAGCAGCAAACTTGACTTGTTACCTAGACATCCTGAAACTTTATCTAACTCTAATGCTATAACTACCCTGTATACATTACCCTGTGAATATACTTAAATCTTAAAACCTTGTATAAACTCATAAGCTATGTACAACTAAACTTTTACCTAAAAGCTTCCAGAAAGTACTATAATCCTTCTTTTATGGTAACTCACCAAACGAAATAAATGATGAGAATCAGATAAAACTTGGTATGTATGGCATCCACTAGTTTTCTTTCTGAGGAGGTGTAGCGTCCATAGTGCCAAATAAGAGCCCGCTTAGCTGAAAGAATAACAAGCCAGATTATCATCAGAGAATAGGCTCAGTCGCCATCAGTTTCTGTGTCTTTGGTCAATAATTTTGGGCATCTAGTCTATTTGTTTTCTAGTCATTAAGTATAATGGCAATGGTGACCTACCTGACTTGCCTGCCTGGTAGAAAATGATTGGATTACCAAGCATCACTATGACAACGGGGGACAGGAAGAGGAGATAAACAATGGCCGACTTTGTAATGCTCAGAGAAAAACATCTGTAACAGAAAAACATCATTCTACATATTAAGTAGATAATAAACACAAAGGAGGCCCATAGGCTTTGAGCTTTGGCTTTAGAAGACTTAAAAACAATGAAATTAACTTACGTTTGGAAGCCTTTATAGTACACTACTACTCCAGCTGATGCTGTTAGAATAGCAGGGATAAACCACCCCACAAACACTTTAAGACTAGAGGTCCTGAAAATATAAAACAGCAGATATACCAGCCAATGTCAAAATTATCATAATAGATATGATGAACAGAATAAGTGAGCTTAAAGATGTATAATAATTGTATGATATCTAATTTTAAAAATCATTATAAAAACCAAAATCAGATAAACTTAACTTCTAACAATCAAATTGTCACACAATTAACCAACAAAAAGCCTTTAAAAATAAATTCCTGCAATTTTATTTTCAAATATCTACCTATATAAAAACTAAAACCTTTTTTATCATGAAAATGCATGGTAATTGAGCATCTGAAGAAAAATCTTATGTTAAGCAACTGGTTTATATAAGCCTTATAGTTTCTTGGTGAATACTGCACCCATAACTTTTAAATTTTCTGGAAAATGTAGGTTTTCAGCGAAGCAAGTACATTAGTGTGCATCCTTAGATGTATCATCTCCATGCAAGTTTGTTCAACATAGTGCTTAAAGTTACTTGCAAATGAAACCTGTATAAAATAATAACCTATTCCACTAATCCAGAAAATGTAAATTTTCATCCGAAGCACACTAGAATGCACCCTTAGATGTACCATCCATGCAAGTTTGGTCATTATAGGGCTCAAAGTTACTTGGAAATAAAAAGTGATTTACCTGTTTATATCAGAAAATGTAGGTCAGATTATAAGCAAGGTGGTATATGATTTATCATCCATGTAAGTTTGGTCATAAAATTTTATAGTAACTTGGAAATAAACCTACCAAAAACTTTAACTTTTGAACATCTGTCAGATTAGCATCCGAAGCAATATGTCAAAATGAGGTGGCTGTACCATCCATTTTTCATTTATTTTCTCTCTCAGTAATGAAACCTTCACCAATTGCATTTGTTATCAATCGATGTATACAGAACTCCGAAGCTATTAGATTCATACTTACAGTTTATCATCCATGTAAGTTTGGTCATTATATGTCCTCCATAGCATGGAAATGAAACCTGCACCAAAAACTTGACCTGTACAGGTGAAAAAATGTACAAGATCCACACCTAAATCAAATGGATAAACTTAACTTTTAATCACTATTATGACTGAGAGGTAATCTAATAACCTTCACCAAAAACTTCAAAATCAATATACATGAAAATGTACATCCATTCAGCATCCAAGCAAGGCTGGTAGTATGCAGCCTAAGATGTATCATCCATGTAAGTTTGGTCAATATACTTTCCATTGAAACTTGGAAATATATCTGCACCAAAAACTTTAACCTAATTAACTTAAAAATCAAATTTCAAGGTTTGGCCATATCAATTTATTTAGGTCAATACACATGTATTACCATCCATGCAAGTTTGGTCACATAGCTTATAAACAAAACCCTTAATGAAACCTTCACCAAAAAGTTTAACCTGGAGAAAAAATGTACAATAATTAATACAAAACAAAGGCTGGTGTCTTTGTTGTACATATGTAAGTTTGGTCAACATAGGGCTTATATTCTCGGAAATGAGATACACCAATAACTGCACCAAAAATGTTAACCTGCACCAAAAACATAAACCTGGATTTTTGCTGAAATTGCAGCATCTGAAACTCTGATGGTACAATGAGACACACAGCAACATCTTCCATGCATGTTAATCAATATGACATAAGTACAGAAAACTTCCAAAAAACTTGATGTTGACCCGGGACGAATTGTGAATGGATGCATTGATGTTAAACTACAGGTGAGCTAAAAACATTAAAGAGAAAACCAAAATCAGATAAACTTAACTTCTAACAATCATTGCATGCAGTACGCTGAAAAAGCCTTTAAACAATAAATTCCTGGTTTATTTTCAAATATCTACCTGCATATTTTTGAGTAAATAAGTAACCTTTTTTACTTAGTTGCATGGTAATTGAGTTAAGAAAACTTTGAATGGAAATATGGAATACTGTAGATCACTAAATTTTCGCGACAATATTTAATGTCATTCGATATTTTAGCGAAAAAATTTTGAATTGTTTTTCTATTTTATCTTTTAAGGAATACTATTATACGCAAATTAAATTTTCAGTAGCACACTTTTGCGTAATTAAGAAAGCAAGTTCTCACGAATAAAAAGTGATTTACAGTATATCAAATGGTACAGATTATAAGCCTAGTTTATATGACTTAATCCAGAGCAAGTCTAAAATTTTATTATAAACAAGAGGCCCACGGGCCTTATAGGTCACCTGAGTATCATGTAACAACTTTCAAACAATGGAATTTGGTTTGTGTTTTAAAACCAGAGGCCATGAAATTCACAATTTTGAAAGAGTCACCGTTGCTTATCATAATAATACACTTAGCATGCTTACTCTAGTTACTTTATACCCAGAGGTAGATCAGAGTAACAAAGAGAAAATGCATTTCCACTTTGTAACCAGTTGTGCACCTGACCCCATAGGAACCACATATTTCAAAATTTTGGAAATTTTATCATAAATTTTATTTCATCATGAATGATTTATTAATATTAAAGAGCAGATTTCAAAGCATTAATTTATTTTTAGACTATGTAACCCCCTCCCCCCCCCCCAATACCCCTGACCCTGGGGACATGAAATTAACCATTTTGCTAGATGCACCTTTTTTCATCATAAATATATATACTTAGATCATTGGCATAATACCCAGGAGCAAAGAAAAATATTTTCAAAGAATTCATACATTTTCATTATATAATCATTAGAGGCATTTAGAGCCCTACCCTAACACCAGAACACCTGACCCAGGGGCCATGAAATTGACAATTTTGGAAGAGGCATCCTTCCTAATCATAACTATGTTCATAGTTCATTGGTTTAATACCCATGGGAGTAGTGAAGAAGATTTTCAAAGAATCAATGTACTAGTTTTTTCATTATATAATCAATAGAGCCCCCACCCCAACACCAGAAACCCCAACCCAGGGGCCATAAAATTCACAATTTTGGAAGAAACACTCTTGCTCATCATAACTATATACTTAGTTAGTTTGTTTAATACCCAGGAGCAAAGAATTTTTAAGGGATTTTTTAAAGAATTAATGTATTTTCATTATATAATCAACCCACTCACCCGTTTCACCAAAACCCCTGACCCAGGGGCCATCCAATTCATAAATATGGTTGAGGCACTCTTGTTAATAATAGCTACTTAGTAGAATAATTCATTTAATACCCAGGAGCAGAGGAGAATGATTTTTGAAGTAATTAATGCATTTTCACTATATGATCAATAGAGCCCCGCCCTAACACCACAACCCCCAATCCAGGGGTCATAAAATTCACAATTTTGGAAGAAGCACTCTTGCTCATCATAACTATACTCTTGTTGAATACCCAGGAGTAAAGAAGAAGATTTTTTAAGAATTAATGTATTTTCACTATACTATTGTTTGCAACTGACTGTAAAGTTTCACGTTACGTCACGATCTAGTTGACAGCTTCACTCAAGGTAATTTGTACACGCCTCCTAACTGCAAGCTTTACGACTGGAACTTTCTTCTTATCCCTGATTGGTTGCTCGTGCTACAGACTATTTCCGTATCAATGTTGATAATTTGAGTTGACCAATCACGTGAATTGTTTACGCTGGATGCATTTGAGGAAAAAGATTGTAACGAAACGTGAAACTTTACAGTTAGCTGCAAACAATAGTATAATCAATATAGCCACGCCTTAACACCAGAAACCCTGACCCAGGGGCCATGAAATTCACAATTTCTGAAGAGGTACTCTTTGTCATCATAACTATGTACTTGGTTATTTTGTTTAATGCCCAGGAGCAGAGGAGAAGATTTTCAAAGAATTAATGTATTTTTACTAGTATATAATCAATAGAGCCCCATCCTAACACCAGAAACCCTGACCCAGGGGCCATGAAATTCACAATTTTCAAAGAGGCACTCTTGGTCATCATAACTATGTACTTGGTTAGTTGGTTTAATACCCAGGAGCAGAGAAGAAGATTTTCAAACAAATAATGAACTTTTACTATATGATCTATATAACCCCGCCCTAACACCAGTAAGGGGCCATGAAATTATATATATATATATATTTTACAATCATGCAAACAGTTTGACTGCTTGATGTTCAGGAGTAAAGAAGAAGATTTTTAAAGATTGCACTAATTTTAGTGGTTTTGGCCCCACCCCTCAGGCCCCAGGGGGGGCAGGGACCATGAAATTCACAATTTTTTTTCCCTTTCACCCATAGATGCTGTATACCAAATTTAGTTGAAATTGGCTCAGTAGTTCCAGAGAAGAAGCTAAAAATGTTCAAAAGTTTACAAACGACGTACAACGTATGACACACGACGACGGACGAAAACAGATAGCAATAGGTCACCTGAGTTTACTCAGGTGACCTAATAAAATACAGTTGAACTTTTGACATCTGGATTACCAGACATATGTCAAAATGAGGTGGCTGTTCCAACCATTTTTCTTTATTTTCTCTCTCAGTAGTGAGTACTGTCAATTGCATTTCTTATCAATCTCTATACAGAACTGCTATTAGATTCATACTTACAGTTCTTTGTTGTTTGACACCATATAGGCCTCCATAGCATAGACGAGGTGCCAGAAATGATTGCAGGTGAAAAAATACAAGATCCACACCTAAATTAAATGGATAAACTTAACTTTTAATCACTATTATGACTGAGAGATAATCTAATAACCAAAACTATGACACTCAAAATCAATATACATGCATGTACATCCATTGTACTCATCAACAAGTTTCGTAGGTCAGCCAAGGGGACAATTTGAGCAATACACTTTCCATTGAAACAGGTACAATATATCTGATCAAAAGTTCTAATAATTATCTTTCAAATATAGGTTTGGCCATAAAATTTAAATCCTCAATACACATGTTTTTTAATAAGACTCACATAGCTTATAAACAAAACCCTTATTGAGTCAGACACAAAGTTGTAGGAGAAAAAAGTACAATAATTAATACAAAACAAAGGTTGTCTTTGTTGACATATAGACAGTGTAGCATTCTCTGCTGATAATAGATGTATTCTGACTAAAAAATAAAACTGCTTTTGACAAACTTGCTGCTCTGATAAAACAGAGAAACAAACATAGGTGTTATCATCCTGATAAGTCAAACAACAATCTTACAGAGAAAATTGCTAATTTTAAAATACATGTATAACCTTAAAGAGATATATTGTTAAAACAGAATTTAAGTTTTTAATGAAATAGATTTGCAATGGATGTCATGTGATATATCAAATTTTCTAGATGACGTGCCAAGTATCAAACTTTGAATGGAAATATGGCAGATAAAACAATATTTAATGTCATCGATATTTTCAGAAAAAATTGCATTATTTTTCTTTTTGCTTTTAAAGAATATTTAGCAATCTAGCTGTTTGAGTAGTGCCCCTTTTCATGATAAGAAAGCAATGATCTGACAAGAGAAGGAGATTTACACAGACAAACTTCCAGCTAGGTTTGTTAACAGTTATTGGTCCACAAAACAAAACAAGTCTTAGGTTCCTGACTGTCCGAAGAAATATGTCCGGTAGTTTAAATCCAATGAACCCCTAGCTTTGCCTCACCTTCAATCGAACTTGAACATTACACCTACATAATTATATCTAAAGGACTTCAAATTTGTAGTATTTTGTACAAAATTTGAAAGTAATGTCAGGCAGATTGATACGTTTTTGATGCAATTCATTGTGACATAGGCAACCCATTTTATACGATATAAAATAGTTTAGGCTTTTTAAACTGCAAAGGAGTTTATAAAAAAGCATAAACTGGTCCAACCCAGTTTATACCGAATAAGAGGGGTAGCTATTTAATTCTTTCATTATAATTTAGTTTTACATTTGGTGACAGAACAAAAATAATGGCTAAAAAACTTCAATTTTGTATTTTGACAAAAGAAATAATGTCTGGATAAAACGTTTTTGATGCAATTCATTGTGACATAGGCAACCCATTTTATACGATATAAAATATTTTTTTTATCCAATCAAATACAGCGTTACAACCAGAATTAAATTATAACTGGATAAAACTTACATTGCTGACAATACAGAAATAATGGCTGGATAAAACTTACATTGCTGACAATACAGAAATAATGGCTGGATAAAACTTACATTGCTGACAATACAGAAATAATGGCTGGCATCCATACAGGTCTTCTTTGTGTCAGGGAAGGCGTGGGCCAACCACACTGCAGACCTCACCAGCAAACCTGGCAACATAATAGACAATTTAAACTTAGACAACATGATCAAAGGTATTGGTCTTGTAGTCTGATTTCATTTAATACTAAATACATATTATCCAATGAGTACCCTTCACATCCATCTCCCCACTCTACCCCAAAAATAGGGGGAAAATTAAGAGCGAAGTTAAAACAAATGCTGTTTTTCTCCATGAGGAAAATAAAGTTAAAATACCAGGGTTCCCTTCTGTGATTATTAAACTTGGATAACTCTACCTGGATGTAGCTATTAATAAAAATTTTTGTTCCTTCTACAGACTAGCTAAGACTTTACAATTGAAGTTGGAAACTACCACAGCAACCCTGATCATTATTACTAAGTACTAGAGGGTATTATTTAACATAATACATAAAACTAAAAGTTCCTGCATATAGAAGCTAACCAGACATAAGTCTACATATCTAGGCTACTTCTGTGGATTATTTGTCTTACCTATGACGGCCAGAACGTTGACTGACACCAGGCTTTTGATGATGCTGTTGAGATTCGGTCCAACTAAGATTCGGTTTTTACTCTGAAACACCTCCGAGCTCCCGTCCTTCCTCGGCCAGACAAGAAACAGGACAGAAATCAGACTAATGGAACAGAACACGACAGAGAGAATGTTGACAACTTCTCCCACCGTCCTCCCCTCTAAATCCTTAGAATGCGAAACGTTGTGAGCCAGACAACATTTGGATAGAAATCCCGGGGACGCCATTGTTCACGCTGAGTTGGCTCTGATTTTAGGGACACAGACTTGGGGCATTCACTCACATGGCCTGTTGTTTGTCAGGGGAAGTAATCCAATCTTGACGAATACTTAGACAAGTTAGTGTATCAAATCACTGTTGTCTTACTGTCTGTAATGAGCATAATGTAAACATTTAGTTACATGCAGTTAAACTTGTTAAAGTGCAAGGCTCAAATTTCACTAGATATGCAACTCACAAAATGAGAGGTAGAATTCCCAAATTGTGAGTTAAAAATGAGGTTACTCTCAAAAACTTGCAAGTTGATTTTTTCCTTGGGAAAATATCAGTCCCTTCTTGGTTATAGTTTTCATTTTAGTTATTTATTTCATGTCCTCCTTCTTTAAATATCAATAATTTAAATAAAAGTAACACTAGTTCTGTATTGTGTATTTGAACAGAAGTTCCTTTTTCCCTTAAATTACAATCATGTATTTAATTCTAATTTTAGAAAGGCTTTATATGAAAATTGTGAGTAGTCTTATAAAATTGCGAGTTCACATTCTTGGTACTCGCAGTTTATTGCACTTTGTAGTTTTTAAGAGTTTCTAACTCTGAAGTTCTTCATCCCACAGATTCTCCTACTCATGTCCATCAGCAATTAAATCACTTTATCTTTAAATTGGTCAAACAATTCACAAAAATGTTTACTAATTAAACATTTATGAAGTGGGTGTATTCAACATATGTCATGTTCAATGCTAATTTTAAAACTTAGTCAACACATGGTCAATGAGTAAATAATCATACAATTAAGGAGAAATACCAAAAATCCAAAATCATTATATTAAAATCAAATATGTCCTAGTAAAGTAAACAGACATGTTAAAGTAGCATCTTCTCTCAATACCAAAATGTGATATGTGATTTTTATATAATTATATCCATATTCATATGAGAAAAAAAATGAAGTTTTGTTTTTTTTTACCCTTTAAAAGAATATTTGCTCCCATTACAAAAAACATGAAAAAAAATGCTAAAACAAGCTGCTCTAACAGTCAATTAAAGCTATACAGCTAAGTCAAGCTATAAAGCTAAATCAAGAGATTGTACCGGACCTGTTTATTAAGGCATGATCTACATCCTGAAAATGTCAAACACTTATTTCAGTTTTTGTACATTATAGACATCATAACACAGCTGTAACATCCTATTCAGAAATTGAAATTGATGAATACTACATATAAACTTGCAAGGGAAAAAAATGAAAATTAAAACTAATTTACCAATGTAACATGATCTGTAATGTTTCTTACCTTGATCAGAATACTCAACTTCTCAAGGCAACATCGAACACAGGTGCCCGTCATGTGACGATTCGACTGAACTCTTCAAGTCTTGTCACAGCATTTTTTCGATCCGGACTTGGAATGATAATTGTGACACAATTTTCTGCTCTAAACTTGTCTTATTTTACCTTTAATTTTGTCTAGAAACAGATAAATTTACAAGTAAAATGAGTTATGTAACAGGAACTAGTACCAGTGATCCATCAATAAACAATAGCATGGTATCCCGACCCCGATCCAAAATACGATATTTTAGCTAGCCTGTGCACTTGTACACACAGCCCCCTCCTTTTTAAATCCAAGTTTAGGTTACAATCTATGGTTAAAAAAATCAACAGAATGTATGTACTCAAAAATGACACTTAAAAGAATAAATTTTATCGGGTTCGGACTTCTCAGTGTCACGTGATGTACGTTGATTTTACGTGCGACGCCATTGCGGCAAGGAAGATGAACAATTTGGCGAAAACTTAGAACACGTGCCATTTAAAGTTAATTAATCATTATTTAGAAAAAAGAGGTAGGTATAAACTCAGCAGGTTTATTTACTGGTGACACGAAATGAAGAAGTCAGGAATGAGACGCATTAGGTGGAAAATTATGATCGCACAAACAGTGAAAAATTTACTTTGTTGACCACCGAACCCTGGTTAAAATAATCTGAGTGTGTTTCAAAACAAACCCTCAGCATAGTTGAAATGCGTCCTATATAATTGCAATGCGGATCAGCTCCGACACGGTTTTGAAGAAACCACATAATTGCATAATCAAGCATAATTTTTTTGGAGCTTTTGCATGCTTTCTACCCTAAATTTCCAAAAAATATATCATATAATCCTTATTCATAACGAAAAAAGTAACATTTGTCAATGTTTCTTCTTTTTTTTGCATCAGATGTACACACAATGTTGAGATTCAAAACTCTACTTGCACAGATCTTTTAGAATATTATTAGTTAGAATAATCTAACTGTGTCTCAGGACAAGCCCTCACCACAGTTAGAATACCTCCCATATACTCGCAATGTAGCAAAAAATTGAAGAATCGATCTGAAACGATTTTGAAGAATTCAAAGGAATTTGCACGGAAAATAACTTCAAAATTAATTATAACAAACCTTTTTGAGGTTGTGTAAGTTTTTATACCTAAAGTGTAATCCAATTAAAGACGAAAATTCTACTAATTTTCTCCATGTTTTTTCTCGCTTCAAATTTACACGCCATGTTTACGTTCGGAACTCTCTTGGTTGTTCATAGTAAATGCACTGAATACGAGTTATCGCCCGTGTTTCATACATGCCAACTTTCCCGATTTTTTCGGGAGTACCGATTTTTAACCCTGTCTACCGCTTGTCTACTGATTAATTTTTTTTCTCCCATTTCTACCGATATTTCGAAAATCTGGATTTTTTACCGATTCGCTCTGAATAATACAGTATTTCTGTGTGCAGAAAACATGGCTGTTTCAATGTTTATCGGTAGGATATCTGTTTATTGCCGCTGATAACAGGTAATCAACAAGGTGTCAACTGTGCTACCAGTCATTACAGAGGTTTTAATTGCTCCTGAACCTCATTAACAGTGTATTTTAACCGAGATAATTATGCCAGATGTGGAAATTTTAGAAATACACACGACGCTGGATACAAACTGACAAACTTGTGAGAGTTCACACTTACAGCAAACTTCGACAATATACATATAAACCGTTCATAAAAGGTGTTCAAGTTTGGGAATATGACATTCCTCATTAAATTATAATCTACTTCATGGGAAAGACACTGCCAAAATCCAACATGGAAAAAAATGTGCCTGCAAGTAAAAACCATTAGGACTGCCCAGAGTGATTAAGAAAAAAAAAAGGAAAAGATCTTTTGCAGACTTTGATTGAAAAAGTTAAAAATGACTTCTTAATATTCCCTCTGATTAAGAAAAAACTACTTTAACAATATATTTATATAACAGTAACCTTATAAACTTTGTAATTTACCAACAGACAATGAACAGTTCAGCTTATTTGTAAAGTTTAACATCCTTACTCATGTAATAATATGTTAACTTTGTGTATCACTTTCTTTAAGACAGGGGGTATATTTATCTTAATATTAACATATTAAATAAGTTTGAATAAAATTGTCATTTTTTAAAATTTCAATTAATATTGTATTTGTGCTTTTGTTTAAGTTGATAGAGAAGAAAACACATTTTGAAGTAGTAATAATATATGATATAATTAAGGTAGTACTAAGTAGATTGGTAATTTAGGAAAAACAACCTACAAAAAGTTACTTCACGACAAAATGCCGCGAATTAGGAACTTCAAAAAATGTCGTTACGCGCAATCTCCCCCAAGAAAATTTTCAAAAGTTGGCATGTATGGTGTTTACTTTGCTACATTGTGAATACACGGAACGCATTCTATTGTTAAACCGGGTCAGTAGGACATTTATCATTTTAACGATAGAACATTCTATCTAGAATATTATCTGCCTCATAACTGCCCGTTTATTTTGCTTCATTGCGGAACACATTAGTCCATTACACCTAGTCCAGTATAAGTCGTATGAAAGATTTTTAAAAAAAATATGCTAACTTTTAAGAATTTGGGTCATGTCATTAATGCTACATCATTTATCCTATGCAATTTTTAATTATTCTGTTGAATTTTGCATTTGTCATCCGTTGCTCTGCGTCTTAGGGTTTCGATTTAAGTGTGTTAAACCAAGGCACCCTCGCAGTTGATTACTTATCTCTAAAAGAAAGGTTCGTTTTCACCAGCAAGTATACCTCCAAGTTCAATTGGGTTAACCATATTAAAAAAAATTATTCAATTATTTAATCAAAACTTAATTTGTATAAGAATAATTAGGGGTGTGCAATATTACCGGTATATCGGTATATTGCGGTACTATCCACCACGATAATATATCGCGATATGAAAATTCGATATTTATAAAAATATATAAAAACCTCCTTTAAGAAATTAAAAGTGTGTCGTTGAAAGAAAGTTTCGTTCGGGAGAGAGAAAGAGAGAGAAGAGAGAGGGGGTGGAAGCTTTTAATTGACTGTTGCAGATTTGAATATCTTACTTTGAAATAAAATTACTAATTAATAAGACTTTAAAATAAAATTTATAAGGAAGAAAATATATAAAACATTTTTACCATATGTATTGCGGTTCTCAAAATCTCAATTGAATCTACACGATCGACATCGCGGTGAAATGTCAAGTTCAATATACATGTACATATTACAAGTAAATAGTCATCCATGTTTTCACTTGTAGCAGTGTTGTTTTAATTATTTTTAATAACTTTCTCATGCCATTTTAAACACCTTATGCTATAGCAGGAGCATGTATATATTAAAACAGGCCATTTCCTGATTGTACGTCTTGATGTGAAATTAGGTCGGGTTAGACTAAATTACCAAAACGCACAAAAACAGGTCACAATTTCTTTCTGGTTTTTTAAATTTCATTTTGTAACCACAATAAAATTATTTTCATATCTAATATGTATATTGTTTTAATCTTTAATAACAATGCTACTTCATTTTCCCCCCCCCCCACCCCCCAAAAAAATAATTCAATGAAAAAAGATTATATAATCTGTAAAAAAATTTATTTCAATGTAAAAATTCTCCAAGAGAGTTCATCATGTTTTACTATTTTACCTGGAATTTGATTAAAAGTAAAGTGTTAATTTGGTGTGCAATCAATGTCTTATCCCTCCTCCCGCTTTTAAACTTAAAGATAAATTTAAATAGTCAAAACTTGACAGCATTTCAAACATTCTGCTCAAATTTATTAATGTATATATTGATATATTGCAATATTCAAAGTAAAATATTGCAATATATCGCAATATGGATTTCCTTCGCAATACCCAACTCTAAGAATAATGGAATAAATTTTTTCAAACATTATGAAGCTAAACTTAATGTCATGTCATGTGACCAATAACTTTTAGCACAAATGTATTTTGAAACGTTTGATTACAGCAGCTATGGCTTTTCCGTACCTGATTGGACCGGGTGGTCAGCCCTTCATCATACAACAGGTGCCCCTGATTCAACAACAGGTGTCTGTCATTCCTCAACAACAGGTGCTCCCCCAGCAGTCTCAGGCCGTGCCCCCCAAAGTACCTGATTACATGTCAGAGGAGAAACTGCAGGAAAAAGGTAGAATTAAGAATCTTCATTTTTGACTAGCAGTTGTATTTCTAGCGTGTACTCGAATTTGTGACAAATTGTACAATTTTGTATTCATTTGAAAAGTTTTCTGGAGAGAGCTAAGCTATAATTTATATTTGATATTTCAGCTCGGAAATGGCAGCAATTGCAGTCAAAGCGATACAGCGAGAAGAGAAAGTTTGGTTTTATCGATGCACAGAAGGAAGACATGCCCCCTGAGCATGTGCGGAAGATTATCCGTGACCATGGAGATATGACAAACAGAAAGTTTAGACACGACAAAAGAGTCTATCTTGGGTAGATACTGTTATGACTAAGTCTATTTTATGTAATTCTATATAACATGTCTTAATATTGTAAAATTTGTTTATCAATGCACCATTTCTCTGCAATGTTACCTTTCCACAAACTTAAAATTTACAAATCAAACATTATAAAAGCAACATTTTTACTTTCACTTTCAGAGCTCTGAAATACATGCCTCATGCTGTGTTGAAGTTGATGGAGAATATGCCCATGCCTTGGGAACAGATCAGAGATGTCAAAGTTTTATATCACATCACAGGAGCAATTACGTTTGTCAATGAGATACCTTGGGTGATAGAACCAGTTTACATTGCTCAGTGGGGGTAAGCCTTAGATGACAGTATACCAGTATTAGGACTAGATTTCATTGCTAAAATGGGGAAAGGGGATGGGGGTGAGTTTGTAGTAAATGACAATAGTCTTGGAATTTTGAAGAGTACAGGATCAATTTATTTGGAGAACAACTGGTAGATTACTATATGTGTTGTATATAAAAGTTATTCATCAATGTGCAATAAAGGTAGATTGATTGCACAAGTGTTGTTTACAGAGATGTTATTTTGAGATATTGTTTAACAGGACAATGTGGATCATGATGAGACGAGAAAAACGAGATCGTCGTCACTTTAAGAGGATGAGGTTCCCTCCCTTTGACGATGAGGAGCCACCGCTAGACTACGCTGACAATATTCTGGACGTGGAGCCACTGGAAGCCATTCAGATGGA